GCCTTTCTCGTATCGACCAATTTGATGACGTATCGTTCCGGCTTGCCGAGAGGGCTGCATAATATTGTGTTTAGATCCACTTCTGTTTTACTGCGTTAAGTGTGATGTGTTTTGATTCACTCCTGATTTACTGTGTTAAGAGTTAAGTGTGTCTCAGTTTTATCTGTTTTCGGAATTTGGATTGTGCATCTTCCTATAATATACAACAACGATTAGCATCAACACTGTGTGCTTATTATCGTCTGAAGGAGTCCAGATTGGAGTCACATTCCATAACGCGTGTCAAAACAATAACGCGGGAATCGAACTTAAACATATAGGGTGGAAGTCTTTATCCCATCATCAACCATCTCATCTCTTTCTCCCTATAGTGTCATTACTAGTAATCGTCGCTATTATTGGGCAAGCGTTATTTCGTGATTGTGACGTTGCAGTGACGTAATTTTTGGATGACGAAGTCAGGTGAGGGTCAGGAATCATATATACAAAAATTGTTACGCTAAGCCTAATAGAAGGTATTGAGGTATGAAACTACACCCATAGCGGACAGACAGGCGTAGTTAACACAATTGCATTATGGTCGCTATTATTAGGCAAGCTCTATTTCGTTATTGTGAAGTCGCATTGACGTAATTTTTGGATGATGAAGTCAGGTGAGGGTCAGAAATATTATATGCAAAAATTGTTACGCTAAGATAATTAAAAGTTATTGAGGTAAGAAACTACATCCATAGGTGGCATTACCAGTAATCGTCGCTATTATTAGGCAAGCTCTATTTCGTTATTGTGACGTCGTATTGACGTAATTTTTTGATGATTAAATCAGGTGAGGGTCAGGAATATTATGTGCAAAAATTGTTACGCTAAGTTAACTAGAAGTTATTGAGGTACGAAACTACACCCATACCGGACACACAGGCGTATTTATCACGATTGCATTATGGTCGCTATTATTGGGCAAGCTCGATTTCGTTATTGTGACATCGCATTGACGTAATTTTTGGATGACGAAGTCAGGTGAGGGTCAGGAATGATATATGTAAAAATTGTTACGCTAAGATAAGTATAAGTTATCGAGGTAAGAAACTACATCCATTGCGCTAAGGCAAATTAATATGTCGGTTTCTGCTTGTCTAAAGCCTTGCATAGAGTGAAAGCGTTCCACGTCCTATTAATAAAATGTGGCCCAATACATGATCAGTCCTCTGGATATTAAATAACAAGTCTTTATGTCTGCGGCACCTAACCTCAATCATTGCGTGAATTAAATGTTCTTTCTGTTTGTCTAAAGCCTAGCTCAGAGCGGTATCGTATATCACCCTATTAATAGATCGTAGCACAATACATGAGCTATTGCTGGACATAAAATAATAAGTCTTTATGTGTGTGGTACCCAACTTCAACCATTGCGTAAAATAACATGTATTTTCTGCTTGTCTAAAGCCTTGGTTAGAGTTGTATCGTATAACGCTCTATTTTAGATTGTAGCACGATACATGAGCTATTGTTGGACAGAAATTGGTCAGAATGGGATATCGTGAACGTTCCTTGGCGACAATTTAGTCGCTTGTGATTCTTGTTTATTTTGAGCTCTGTACAACGACCCCGATAAGAGAGAGGTCGCTGACGTATTGAGTTTGTTGTCATACTCGTAGGCGCCATTACGGGGGACCGTCGCTATACTTTGGCAAGCTGTATTTCGTTATTGTGACGTCGCAGTGACGTAATTTTTGGATGACGTCATCAGGTGGGGGTCAGGAATCATATATCCAAAAATTGTTACGCCACGCCCACTAGAAGTTATTCAGGTAAGAAAGTACATGAGACCCCATTCCACGTCCCAAGATACTCGTCAAGCAGAACACAGAAGTCAATCAAATATATGGGTGTAAAGCTCTGGAATGTTTTACCTAATGCCATTAGATCGCTATCGTATGGTATGTTTAAAAAAAATTTGAAAAATAAATACATTAGTAACTATCTCTCTTCCTGTAACCATTGAAGTACCGTACCGGTACTCGACAGTGTCGCCTACCAAATTGCTCGCTGTCAAGCAAGTCGGGCAAACAACAATAAGTGCAAGGAGTCTAATTCTAGAATACCCGCCGCATTAAATCTGGTAACTCCTAATGACTCAGTGAAAGTATGTTTACTGTTATTTACAAATACTATGACCGTTTTTTTTTCTCGTCATATTTTATCCCCCTTATTGCAAGTTTTATACACGTATAATAGGATACCGTACCGGTATTGTTTGCAATATATTATTCGCTGTAACTTAATCAGAGTGGTAATTTTCACTCTTTTCATTTGTATATAAGTTTTCAAAATTGTACTTGTTAGAAATATTTTGTGCAATTTGCATTCTCTCTAAGTTTTTCTTTATTTTTTCTTGTTGTCCTCTCATTTTCTCTCTTCAGGGCATTCTCTCGTGATAGTTATACATTTTTTTGTTAAATAATCTGCACAGTAGCCTCAATTATGTATACTGCCGCAACTACTGGTATTCAGTAGTTGTGTCTTATTTAGTTACTTTTTTATTCTAACCTGCATCAGCTAGGTGTCGCTGCTTGAAGACCTTTATAGGTCCCTCGCGACTCCAGTCACACAATTAACATGATCAGTATATTTCATTTATTGTAACAGTTTTCTATATGCTTGTTTTTTGTGTTGACAAATAAAAGATTGATTGATTGATTGAGAGATGAAATTCAAAATAACACGAATTAATAAAAGACATGGATATGATATAGTGAATAATGGCTTAGTTAAACGAGACAATCTACGTCGGTTTACGAGAAAAATAAAATTCGTGATTTTTTTTAAAGGGGCCTTTGTGTTGCTTTGAAATGCTTAACATTTTGAAAATGAAATTGAAACGAAATAGTAAAACAAAATGGCGACGACACTTAAAGGAAGGGACACAGAGGAATGTAAAACGGCTTTGATGTTTAAAGGAAGGAACTGAGAATAAATAAAATGGCGGATTTAATACTTGAGAATTACATTGAATTTGGTTTGGTGTTTAAGATTGTAAAATTGATGTTAGAGATTACTTTGAAGCAAAATAATAAGTTAGAATAATCCTGTAAATTGAATAATGAGTGATTAGACGGATTATTGAACCATCGAAATTTAACGTGAATCAAATTCTGTATGAAGTAAAAGAACTCATGATATCTAAGAACAATACAATCATTGATCAATAACAAATAATTACAAGTAAATATACACAAAAGTAAGCTCACACTACACGATTTTTTATTTGTCTGGTCTTATAATATTTGAATTTTTTTATATATTAAGGTTTTTTCTTACGTTTTATAATGGATAATAATAAGAGAAAAGAAATAAAATACAGGACGATTAATAACGAGGCGATACATTGCGAGATACACACTATATACAATTCGCAACGGCCGTCCGAATCGAGTCGCCTTGATCGAATCGAGTTGCATGATAAGCGTGAATCGTTGCTATGACGTTGCTACGGGTTTACGTCGGGTTTACCAATCAGAGAAAAGTTTGGTTTACTGCCGCATAGGGTGGGGATAAATTGAAGGGTTTGTTCAGTGGCGTAGCAAGACTCTCGTGGGCCCCCCCGCAAAAATATTTTGTAGAAATGACCATAAAAACTCTCGGACATAAAAGCTAAAACAACGTTTTTTTTTATTTTGTGGGCCCTCCCGCGACGGCGGGGGTGGATGCTACGCCACTGGGTCTGTAACAAGTCAAACTTTTGAGTCAAGCTGAGCTTGGGTGCTCGCTTCTGAGAAGTTGCTAGTAATTTCCATTTCTTCATCGTTAATTTCGACATCGGATAATTCGTGTATTTCTTAGTATATATAAAAGGGTCAAATAACATTATAATCCATAGTTACACAATGTACATTCGCTAAACAAGGAGAAAATTGGCCCTATGTATGTAAAGTTCGATTCCCGTGCTATTGAATTGACACTCGTTACGAAATGTGACTCCAATCTTGATTCCTTCAGACGTTAATAAGCACACAATATATGGAATGCCAATTGTTATATTGAAAGATGCACAACCCAATCCGACTACAGATAAATTGAAAAACACTTAACTTTTAACGCAGTAAAATCAGAATAAATCAAAAGCACAATATATTTCAGCTCTCTCTCGGCGTGGCAGGAAACGATAGGTCATCAAATTGGTCGCTTACAAAGAAGGCTATATAGAATGTAGGCTTTCTCGCTGTCGCGAATCATAAATTGACCTTTTTTGTGAAATGTAACATACTATCTGTATGAAAGGGTTAAATACATATGATCCATAGTTACACAATGCACATTCGCTACACTATTTAGGCTACAAGTCGAGTTCCAATTGTTTCTCGACATTATAGATTCCATAAATAATGGTAGAATGGATGGGTAAATTGTCAATCCTGAATGTGCATAATGCACTGCTCCTAATACGACTATGCATTGTGTCCAATGCGCTGCTCCTAATGCGACCTCACTGTGCCCAATGCGCTGCTCCTAATGCGATCTCGCATTGTGCGCAATGCGCCGCTCCTAATGAGGCCTCACTGTGCCCAATGCGCTGCTCCTAATGCGGCCTCACTGTGCGTGATGCGCTGCTCCTAATGCGCTGCGCGCAATGAGACTTTTAGGCTACCAACCCCTCTCGTATAGTGGTGTAAATTTGGCAAACACAATGGAATTTGCACATTTCAGTATTTATAATGGATGTAGGCCTATATCATTTGATTTTTAAGTGGGCCCAATCAACATTCAGACATTGTGGAAATAAAAGGATAACAGAAGCATGACATAGTGAATCTCAGCTGACTCTGTAACTATACAGACAGACAGACAGCAAGGGCAGAAGGGTGATTCAAAGTTGTACTGCATTGCTCAATACACAGATACACCAGATCCATAATTTACACAGTTATATGAGTAGGCTATATCAGTCCTGCAGCATATAGATACCAACATTATAATCTTTTAATTCTGTAATTAACAGGTTGTTTATTTCTAAAGATTAGGATTTTTATCCTGGTATCAAAAACAGCAGACAGACAGCATGCTCAAGATAATCCTACAATTAGCAACCATTGTTTATATCTGTGCAAGATGTTCGGGAATGAATAATGGAGTTGCACGTACACCTCCTATGGGCTGGTTGGCATGGGAAAGATTTCGATGTGTCATAGATTGCAAAACATATCCTGACTCTTGTATAAGTGAAAAGCTCTTCACAGACATGGCAGACAGGTTAATAATTTGTTTATAGCATTTTCTACGGAGATGAGTTCTATACATTTTATGGTAATACTAGAAAACTAGTCAAAACAAAGACTCCCTTGAAATTTCAAATTCAATTTTCTGATTTGAAATTTATGCTGGGATGTGCACTAGACGTCATGCAATTTTTGGGAATGCTTTGGGAATAATAAACAGTTCAGCATTGAATTATGATTAACCCTCTATTCAGTATGATGCGCGATGGCTTATTGGTTGAAATACTATAGCCTACTTAACTGGGTTGGCATCTCAGGTTCGAATTCCATGTCCACCTCATCACCCAGGGTGTAATAAATTGTGTAGGCAATGCTGAAAATAATAGCTCCTGACTCGGGCTGGGAATTTCAGGGACACTTTAATCGTTAACCGGGTAAAATTACCCAGCCCTACTCCTGACACATTGTTAAATATCATATTAGATATATATGCTCGTACAAGGCTCTGTACTGAGCATATATAAGCATTGAAAAAAAATGGGGCGTACTTTATTCTATTCGATAAACTAACAACGAAGTTTGTTTATCTAGGTTGGTGGAAGATGGTTGGAAGGATGTTGGATATAAACTTGTCAATATAGATGATTGTTGGTCGTCTAAGCAAAGAAATGACGTAAATGAATTGGAGCCTGATCCTGAGAGATTTCCATCTGGAATTCCATATCTAGCAAATTATATGCATATGAGGGTATAATCTTCATATTTTTAAAGAAATTGGAAGTGAATTCATTTGTATAACATTTTATCAGTAATGTAAGACCCATCTCAAATCTCTCTTGTATGAGTGGTTATGTTTTGTTAAAATGAGCATTAGATCTGTGTCATTGCAAGCATTTAAAGTTTAAAAACAGTTGAATCGAATTTGTAGATTGGCCTGGACTGTCTAAAAATTAAGTTGAACAAAACCAAATTCAAAATTATAGTTGTTCATAGGAATTATTTTGCATCCATCGAGGGTTACAGTTACTGTTTCATCCAATTAAAAAATTCAGCCTTACCGTATGTTTATTATGGTGCAAGCTAGTTCTATTCAGATTATTTGAGAAATATTTGGTGATAATCAAAGGTCGAACCTCTCAGTAGAAATTTAAAAAGCATTAATTTGACTGATCATTTTCAACAGCCAATTGAAAAAAGCCTCATATGTCAAAGTTTTTGTTTTGCTTGTCTTTCAAAACTGGAGTCAAGAGCTAAAATTTCCTTAAACCTGGAGCCTTGGAGGGACTGGTCCAATTTTTGGAATGGTTATTGATTGAGCTAGAGCCACATGCAAATGTGGACTCCACATTCCTGTATCCATTGTTAGTACACAAAAAGCTAATATGCACTAGACAGCCCTAAGTATAAAATTGTTGATCTATTATATCCCATTACTAAAGCATTCTTATATTTTTTCAGGGATTGAAGTTAGGTATTTATGGTGATTATGGTACTCTCACTTGTGGTGGTTACCCGGGATCTATGGGTTATGAAAAAGTTGATGCTCAAACGTTTGCAAGATGGGGTGTCGATATGTTGAAGTTTGATGGCTGCTATTCAAATTCAACTCAGCAAGAGATTGGTTATCCTCTCATGAGTAAAGAATTAAATATGACTGGTCGTCATATGATATACTCTTGTAGTTGGCCTGCCTACCAAGGTGGTTTGCCTCCTAAGGTAATTTGGTAGAATTCAATTGGTATACCGTATTTTGTTTTTAAAAAAATACTAGTTGCGTCATATTGAATTGTTTGTTTATAAAAAGTACCGTACTTTAATGTGTGATACAGAAGATCGTGTCAGATTTAAATATTGCGTTTTAAAAAATCGATTCGCATTTATTTATCAATCCAGGTTGATTACAAACTTCTAGGAGAAATTTGCAATCTCTGGCGAAATTATGGTGACATTCAGGATTCTTTTGAGTCAGTAATGACGATTATAAATTGGTGGGGCGATAATCAAGATGTTCTTATACCTGCTGCCGGACCTGGAATGTGGAACGATCCAGATATGTTAATTGGTGGTGACTTTTCCCTTAGTTATGATGAAGCTAGACTTCAGTTTGGTAAGTACCATTAAATTTCAAGGTTTTAGTTCTTGATTGTAGGCGTGTGTGCCTTACAAAGTTACAGTTGCTCTTTTTCCCCTGCGCCTGTGTGTTAGTGGATTCGTACTGCAAGGATCAGTTCGGCTATGTTTAAGAATAATAGATTGATCGAATGACGCATTTGAGAATATATCAAATCATATCACATTTGAGAATATAGCAAATATAAAGATATATAAATAGTGCTCAATTGGTACTTATAATCTTATGTAAACATCAGTTATATATTAAAGCATTCTGCTTTGTATTTGCTAAATCCCGATGACAAAGCACAATCTCATTTCCTTTTTACACATTACTCATTGAATGCACCTCAGCTGTGAATTCTCGGAAGTCATATTTAATTGATAATGCTATATGTCGAGTTGCAATCTGCAACCCAAAAAATGTAGCGTTGTTTCACAGTCAGCAGAACCAATAACAATGCATTAACTAACTTGTCAGCATTTACTTGCCATCCGACCTTTTTAATTTACAGATATCTCATTATGGTGTCACACATGATAGATATTTTTTAGAACAATTATGGAGCTATAATCAAAGGCTCCATTTCACATTTGTAACATTATAGTGCTTTAACAATGGAGTTTCTGTTATTATTGCTATAATAGGTAATAGCTTTATTCTTATCCTGCTGCTTTAAGGTAGCCCACTCAATTTAGGAATGCTAAATGAAACAGCACTTGTTAAAATTTGAAAAAGAAATATCTAATTATTTCAGATATCAGTGAATGGATTTTTTTTACAGGAATGTGGGCGATTATAGCTGCACCATTGTTTATTTCTGTCGACCTACGTACAATGGATCCAAAATTTAGAAGCATCTTGCAAAATGAACAGGTTATATCTGTGAATCAGGATCCTCTTGGTATTCAGGGTCGAAGAGTGAAAATGGATAAAACTAATGTACAGGTTGGAATAAGGACGGTTTTATTAATATTTAGATTGTAGAATAAAATAACGGACCTCCTGAAGTATGCGCACCAAGATGGCGCACTACCTAAACCCAAGTTGTGTACCAGGTTAGGGTTCAGGTTGTGTGACATCTTGGTGCGCATACTTCAGGAGCACCAAAATGTCAGTATGTGTACCAGGAGTGTGGAGTCCGTGGTAATTTACACTCAACCCCAGCCACATATTCATTCAAAAACAAATTCGACTTCAGCTTTGGGAAGCCAAATTTTTGAAAAAAACTTTGATTTCCTCATTTGTCTGTTGGGAATGCGTAGTCAACTCAAAGTTTTTTGAATTTCTGTGAGAAATTTTTATTATCCTAATTAAAAGTCCGAAACCCTGACTTTTGACTCCGCAAATTTGCAATTCCGATTCTGTGAAGATGAAAACACAACCCTGGCTTATTGCGAGAATAAGCTTTGCAATTCAAATTTCGTTTTTTCAACTACGGTACTTTGGAGAATCATTTCTGTCCAAAATAGAAGTTATGACTATGAAAGCTCATGAATAATATACTTGATCTCATGGAAAGAGATTACCGGTATGTTATTCTTATTTATCTGTATAATATTATCTCAGTCAAGCATTCTTGAGGTAACTGACACATAAGGATACGAAGAAGAAAATAAACAAGGAGAAAGAACTTGCATTGCAGTTCAATACACAATACCCTAGTACACCCTCATTATTATTGTCCGCGAATGAGACCGCACTAATTTTGTTTTAATGTTGTTATGCTTTCATGAACCTACTTTTGTTTCAGCTCTGGGTGAGACCTTTGGTTGGCGAAGAGCAGGCTATAGCAATATTTAGCACAAGAACAGATGGTGTTCCATATGAATACTACTTCACATTGTCAGATCTTGGTATTCAAAAGCCAGCTTCTGAGTACTTGATGACGGATATTTTAGATGGAACAGAGCAAAAAGTTGTTGAATATACTGACACATTATCAGCTGACGTTAATCCAAACGGGATTAGAATGTTCCGTGCTATTCCGTTAAAGTGAAATTCTTGACCGCTTCATATTAAGATTGTATATTAGAAAATGTGGATGACCAAAACTAATCGCTTGAATCGATTCAAAATTATTTGTTATTAATAATTGAGAAATGTTTCATTTCAAAAATTTGCTTCATTTATTGTTTGAAACCATTAAAAATAAAGCATTGATCAAATCACTGTTTTTCTTAAATTCCAAATCCAACCCATTGACTTTGAAAGGAAATTTGCTTAAAGCGTATTTCACACGCACTCACTCAGAAATAAAAGACATTGATCTCTGAGCGAAATTACCGACAATCACAAGTGCCAATAGCTACTGAGTACTGAGGCTAAAAAGAATTACAGTGTAGAATCGTGCATTAGTGAATACTCATTCCCATAAGACTTACAACAGTTGGTGTCGATTCCACATAACTGAATTTTCTTAGAAAATATTTTAATACCCAAAAAAAAGGCAAGTGCCCAAATAAACTTTGATTTTTTCAGTATTGTGCAATACTAAAATATTTTTCATGCGAGTAATTATAAGTTCATGCAACATGCTTTGAAATTGTCTATTTCAATGTTCTTCGTTAGTTCTGCATTGTTCAACTGTATCTAAAAGTGTAGTTGAATTTAATCTGTACTGGAATCCTATTTTTGATTCTCCGCTGTTCAAACATATGTTATATTGCAGGTATTTACAGCTCAAATTGTAGTTATTGTTATTATTTCGTAGTTTTCCAATATTCGTTCAAGGTCAAGAATATTTGGAATGATGAAATTGCAGGTTTCGCAACAATATCAAAATCACGATGTCATAAAATTTGCAAAATTTTTTTGATTTGCCATTTGTTGCTAGTTGTGTTACCTTTTTATATTATTTGAGTAGGTTTAGATATTTGAGACAAGAGGAACACTAAATTGTATAACTATGGATTTTCCTAGTTAAATATTAACAATGTGGATCACATGAGGATTTTAGGACAAATAAGTGGCACAAGCTGATACCAACTAATGCTTTTATAGCTTATATTGTATTTATTAGTAATTACGGTATTTATACAAATATATATTTGTATTTTTCAAAGGGACTGTCATATTACTGTTACAGATTATAAAAACTGACTATTGCTATCAGTTGAGTGCAATTTGGACTCGCCGTCATTTGTTATAAAAATGTTTTTATGAAGTCTGTAGTGAATCAAGTATGGTTTGTGTTATGTTCATGTGAAGTATGACAGTTTGAAGCATATGTCAAGGATGTCATTACTGAATTTGATACATTTTTGTTGTTCATTTCTATCGAAGTGTATTTATTTTTAAAATAATAAGAGTTTGCTTACAGCAATAAAATTTTACTTTCAAGTAGAATTTATAGAATCCTTGTAATGGAATAAGTAAATTTTGCTCTGTCATTTTTAAACTCGATTTAGGTTAGTTATTATACTTGTTGCCTGGTTTATTTAAATCAAAATTATAGTACAAATGCCTAATTTCTTATCCATAAGCTCAAATCAGAAAACATTGATAGATTCGTTTCTAAACCATTGTCATTCATTTTTGTTTCTCAATTTTTTTGCTTTTGAGAGTGGTCTAATGCAGCAAAATTATTATTCATTTAAATTACAGTAAAAAAATTCTAGGTATCCGTATTAGAAAAAAAAACAACTTTAGAATGATAAACTTTCAGAATTATGTAACACCAATTTTATGCAATTGATTTTTGTATTCGATTTATTGCTAGTTATATTTTGCAGTATGACATATGGGAATAATAAAAAAAATTTTGATTTTCATATTAAGATTATTTTGAGAATAAGAGTCAATATGGCTTTATCTCATATAATTATTATAACTTCAATGTTGCTCTGTGCACAAGTATCTGCATTGGAAAATGGCTTAGCACGTACTCCACCCATGGGCTGGCTGGCATGGGAAAGATTCAGATGTAATACTAACTGTGCTGCATACCCTGATAATTGTGTAGGCGAAAAATTGTTCATGGAAATGGCTGATGTGTAAGTATATGGAATCCATTTTATGTATATTGCTTGTACTATTCTATAAATTCGTAAAGTCATTTTCAAATCAAAATTGTTTTGTGTCCCATTTTTACTATCAGCAATTTAACAAGGCTGATCCAAAATTTGTTTATATTCAAAACTGCATATATTTTTCTAGGACAAAACATACTATCATAATATTTGGGGCAAACTTTCTGGAAATGTTCAATCGTATAATTTAATTTCACAGATTGTCCATATTTTATGCAATAATATTTTCATATACTGTACATCTAATGATATTATTAATTTCCAAATTTAGTTTGTTTGGTCTCAACATGCCATTTTGTTACGCATTCAGTTTCATGTGTTCCACATCGGACACTCTTTTTATTATATATTTTAAAATAATGTTGGAGCTCTAGGTAAGCAGATATATAGAATTACTTGCTTCTATTTCACTGTATTCTGGTGTTGGTCAGAAAGATGTTCAGGAATCAAGCTTCCATCCCTCGGAGATATATCATCATTGGCAGTGATACAGATTGAATCCCTTCTGTCTTAGATTGCTGGAGTCCTTGCTGTCGTAAGGTGGTCCTTTCATCTGAGACCAATAATTGATTAGGGTAACTATTCGAATTCCCAGCCTAAACTGATAAATGGACGAGAGGCTTCAGTTTGCTGTATGATTAAGTTGACTCATCATTGGCTTTCCGCTCCCCTGGGATAAATATGACAAATCCTATTCTAGATAACAATCTTTCTCATGACAGAATGGTAAGTGGTGGATGGAAAGATGCTGGGTATAAACAAGTGAATATGGATGATTGTTGGATGGCAAAACAAAGAAATTCTCAAGGTGAAATATATGCCGACCCTGGAAGATTTCCTAGTGGAATAAAGGTTCTGGCAGATTATTTACATGCAAAGGTATTCAAACTTCTTGCTCTTGAATGCACTTCTAGTTAAGTGCTGTGGAACTCTAACCATGACTGAAGTCATACATTGTCTTGAAATCTAACTTCTCAGCTTGACTTGGGCAATTTATTATATTCGGAATGTATCTTTTTTTGTCCAGTCTTGATCTACTTCATGCTTTGTTAAAAGGCCAAAAAGCTTCTTGCAATAGCTTTATTGGCAACTCGCAACTCTGGCTCATGACTCTGACTTCGGATCGAAAAGAAAATTTGTGCTGTGACACCAAAACCACATTCCACATTAGGAAAAATTTTATATGAATGGAAACACTTGTTAGTGAAATGTTCATTTCTGAATCCAAATGGGTTTAAAATCTTTATTTTATCATACCAGGATCTTAAACTTGGAATTTACGCTGATTTTGGCAACTACACTTGCTCTGGTTACCCAGGGACTATGGGCCATGAAAAGGATGACGCACAAACTTTTGCTGAATGGGGCGTAGACATGTTGAAATTTGATGGTTGCTCATCAACTAGTGATGAAAAGAAAGTTGGATATCCTCTTATGAGTAAAGAGCTGAATGAAACTGGAAGACCAATTATATTTTCATGCAGTTGGCCTGCTGAAGATGGCCATGTTCCACCGAAGGTTAGTAATAGTAGTGTTTTCAGTAGGTTTAGATATGGTTTTGCATACACCATTGCATTCAGGTTGTGAGACATCTTGGTGCGCACACTGCAGGAGTACCTTTCCTCCTATATAGGCTCTGGGCAAATTGTCTCACTTACAGAGTTTCTCTAAAGCTCCATAATATTTGGTTCTTGGTTGGTATAGTCTGTCCAATTTGTTATATACTAGGGTAGGGTGGTACGATATGAGTATGAACCTTATTTTTTAAACAGCATTTTTATCATGCCTTTTGCTCAGTACAAGAATCAACTAATATAAAAAGAGATGATATTTTGTGAAATGACCAAAATTTATCATTCTGGTTTGGTAATCTCTACTCAATTTATAACGCCCTGTGTGCACTGGTGGGCATGAGGATTGAAAACCTGCGAAGCAAGTCAAATTCAACAATGTAACCACGAGAATAGAAAGCTGATAGTCATCTTGATAATGTGGTCGAGGTCATTAAAATATTTTTTAATTATCATACTCAGCTGCATATCAGAACAATTTATTCATTTTACAGATCAATTTCACATTAATGGCAGAAATTTGTAATCTTTGGAGAAATTATGATGACATTGGTGATAATTTTGACGATGTGATCAAGATAATCAACTGGTTTGCTGAAAATCAAGACGTTCTAATACCTGCTGCAGGACCAGGACATTGGAATGATCCTGACATGCTTATTGGTGGAAATTTTGCTCTGAGTCCTGACCAAGCTAAGCTACAGTTTGGTAAGTTTTGTTTTTACAACAAATAGCAGTTTTTTTAAATTGTTATTGCATTATTGAAGGCAAAGCCATTGAGATATTATTATCTTACAGTTATGTTTAAACACGGACAAGTGGCATATAAAAAAGTATTGCGAAATTAGAATCACTTTTGCAAATATTAAATTGGATTTCAAATTTTTTCTGATGCAATATAAGTTAGGACTGAAGCAAATAAACGCCAGATCATTGTATATTGTTTTTGTACACTAATTGATGGGATCTATTGCTTCAGGATTATTTGGATGGGGATCATTGCAAATTAATGAAACCTGTAATATATATATTTTTGTAATATTCCTGATGCTTACACCTATTTCAACATGATTAATGCAATGCGTAATAGCAAACCTGCTTAGAACAATTGAAATCAACTGAATCCACTCATCAATAGGCTGCATTTCTATTTACACAGGTATGTGGGCTATGTTAGCTGCACCGTTATTTCTTTCCGCTGATCTGAGAGCAATTGCTCCAGAGTATGTGAAAATATTACAGAACAGGCAAATTATACAAATCAATCAAGATCCACTTGGTATGCAAGGTCGCAGGGTTAAAACTTCAGGACCATTCCAGGTATGTTTTTTATTCAAACCACAGATTCTATGAATCATTATCTCCTATTTAGAAAATCATGCGTATCTCATCTATTGATCAGCAAATATGCTTTTCTCTCTCTTTATTTGCTGGACCAATTGTTTTCAAGTTTTCCATATATCGAAGCGCCCGGGATATGCTTTCATATTTCCCCTTGCCTTTCTGGGATGTCATTGTTTCTCAATTAAAAAAGTTACTAGTTATGAGGCTTTTCGCTCATGCTCAGTTGATCACTTCCATGCATATCTTTTTGCCTAGTTATAGTATTTTTTCACTTACGCAGCTATGGGTTCGCCCTATGTGGGGAGCAGAACAAGCGATTGCTGTTTTCAGCACATCAACTGGTGGTGATGTGGAACACTTCAGTTTTACAATGGCAGGCTTGGGCATTGATAAACCAGCATCAAAGTATGAAATCTACAATATCGATAACGAATTTGAAACAAAGGTTGTCGGTCTCAATGATATGATCACTGTCGCAGTAAATCCTCAAGGCATTACGATCTATAGGGCAAAACCAGGAACAACTAAGATTCCTCATTTTGAGTATGAAGTAAAGGAAGAATTGACCTTCGATATACTTTAAAAGTTCGTTCACAACATATATGCAAATTCTCTCAGCAATTCTTCATTGTTCTATGCCACCATGCTGTTGATATGTCGTATACTTCAATAAGTTTTCAAGTTCTTTGTTTACCAGACATTTTCTGAGATTTATAATCAAGCATTATTTAGTTCGTTTATAGCCTTTTTGGAATCATGACAATGGTGCTTATATTTTTGATTGAAAGAAGCATTAATTTTAACAAAGCTTTCTGACAGTCTGTAATAATGTGTCATGAGCGCTTGGACTCATTCAACTCAACATGTTCCAAACAAGTGGCAACTCAAAAGTACCATAATCCTAATGAGAAATTTCTTCATTGTGTTTGTTGTATGAAAAGACTATCAGCTAATTGTTTTCCACTTTGATTTAACGTATATATGCACAAAATTTTTTCACTCATGCTGTATTATGTTTACCAATAATATGATTTGACTAAGCATAGATAATTTTGAGTCGTTTTTTGTGTGCCAAGCGAAACATAATAAGAAGAACTGTCAGTCAGTAAAATTGGGTGTGATAAGTAGCGAAACATAATAAGAAGAACTGTCAGTCAGTAAAATTGGGTGTGATAAGTTGTCAGTCCAAAAAAATCTGAGGAGGACTTACAGTTCGTTGAGGTCATTAGTCTATGTTCAGACTTGGATGATGGAAGCGAAGTCATGCCGCGATCTTACTGCACACTATCACTTACGTAGGTTATTCCGCAGTACTAATGATCTATTTAACTATCAACACTTTGCTAGTAGCCGATTAGGGAAATAGAAGAGCAGATTGCCGGGCATCGGGGCAGTGCTGTAGTCTCACACTGAGAATGCTGCAAGGTGTTCTGAATCTTTAATGCCTTATGCCGATGTTTAAGGCTTAACATAACATCGGACAATTTCATGAAATACATTTATTTAGTATTCGATTAACATATAAGCAACCACAAACATTTAACATGTACTAAATATACTTACTCTATACTTACACTGTTTTAATCACAAATACTTGTTTTTACAGCAAAAAGCTCAAGCTCTTTCCTATGCGTCGAATTTTCCGGACATGGTAATGACTATCGTAAACAACTAATATGGTGTCCACCTCAGAAACTCGATAGGTGTCCAATTTTTAAAGTAAATAGCACAAGAAAAAAAAAAGATACAGATGGCAGCTCAAAAACAAATACCTTTCATCAATATTTAGTTTCCAATGGTAAAAATTATCACCATGCGTAAAATTATAACTTGTTTCTATAGTTCATCATCAACTCGAACCAGGCACTAGATGTCTGGTCAGAAAATACATGAATACTGGTTGCACAAATGATATTGCAAGAGTAAGATAAAGTCGTCGTTTTCCACCGTGGCCTTGCGTGAAGTCATCAGTGGAAGCAGTATGCGGTAATATTTTCAATCGAAGAGTCTTCACCTGGAGTTATTACATAAAGTTGTTGATGTAAATTCATGCATAAAGTAGACGCCTAAACCAAGAAATCTCGAAGTATCAGAGACGCATTTGAAGAATATAGAATCTATTTAACTACTGAAATCTTTGGTAAATAGAAAACATGAAAAGTGAGAATGAGCTATTTAATCAGGTGTGAGATGGGGCTGAATTGAAGTCTCTAATTTGAGTTCCAACAACACTCTTGGATTAGATCAGGGGTGGCCAACCTTTCACATACCATGCGCCACATTTTAAACATAATGTTTCAGATGCGCCGTAAATCTCTTGTATTCCCACGCCTAATGTCCGCTTCTTGTTGAAATTATATAAATTTATAATACACACCCATATATACACACGTATATGTAGTTTTGAGTCTTTTGACAATTTACAACTTCACATGAATAGGAATTAAGCAAGAAAGTATAAATAAGGAAGTACCGCCTTTATGAGACTTTTGCTGCTGTTTTATGTTCGCCAGTTTGTTACTGAGAGGAGCAGTGCATTCTTCAAATTTAAATCTGTAAGTCTTCACCTCGCTTTGCTTTTAATTAGTTTCATGGCAGAAAATGTTTGTTCACATCTATATGTCGTTCCGAAATAAATTTCAATGACAGCCGCATATATATAGTTACCTCAACGAAAATTCTCGTATCCACGCAAAAATTTGAGCAATTTACGATAAACAGATTACGATTGATTACGAAACAGGGAACCATTGTGACGCCATGCTTCAAGTAAAAACTACAGCCTTCCTGAAAGTAGGAGAAAAACGCATTCTGTCCTATGAGCATTACGCAATAAAGCTGTTTTTAACAACGAAGAGAAAAAGGTACGATTAAGAAGCTGTTTGGCCTAGCGTCGCGTGATTTTACTCCAGGCTTCTTCGAGATTAGTACTTGCGTCACAGCATGCGATTTTACGCTTCGCTTTTGTTGACAACGGTCATTTGAAGTTTGGATGAAAAAGGTGGTATTTAGGGGTCATTTTCAGCATGTTGTGGGTTGATTTATAATAAATTTTTTAGGCTTGGGCAATTCAACTGGTTGTTCAATGGTTATTGGGAGATATTTGGGAAGTCTGGGCAATTGAAAATCCATGTTTCAAGCTGATAAATGACGATTTTCTATTTTTCCAAAGTTCTGAACTTTTACTTCAGTAGGGAAAAAATAGTAAATTTTACTAATTTTTGCTAAAAGTCTAAAATGTCATAAAGTCCGTCCAAAAGCTAACGTCGATAATCGCCTGTTTTTCTAATTCCAACAAGCCGTAGTGGGCGACGTGAGTAAGGAGAATAGATTTTAGGTACAATCAAAAGTCACCATGTAAATCGCAAAAAAACGGCTTGGCGTGGAGAAGCCAAGTGCAACTAACAATTTTGGCATGAAAAGGGTTAAAGATGCAATGCGTCACGTTTGGCGCATGCGCCATAGGTTGGCCACCCCAGGATTAGACTATTCTCTTTTCATTACTCCAACAATTACCCAAAAACTGCTGGTTTACTCAATGTTTGCACTACTTTTGCTATATCTTCTGTCACTTACCAAAAAATAAGCTATGGAAAGACTCATATAGCCCAGAGCAGCCCAATAACCAGCCGATCTAAACACCAATCCAGCAGCCATTATTACAATCATCCTGAAAAAGAAATATATAGTTTATGAGAAGCAAGCAATTTTGAATATACATTAACTGCATTTTTTAAAAGTAAAAGTAATCACGGATGTAATCTTAATCACAGTAACACTGTTTATGGTCAATTTCGACAAAGATATTTTCATGCCAAGAACTTAAGCATGTACGACAGACTACATCAGAGCTGTTTCCTTGATGGTATTCACTTGATCTGCTTCTTCGCACCAATCAGCATTTGTCATTTACTGGCATGTAATGCTCTACCATAAACATATTAGCCCAGGATCTTGAGGCATTAAAGTGGTCACCCACTAACTGCTCAGAGATGAGTCTCATTACCTCCTGAGCGAGTGTGAGCAACCTTTCATTGCCCAAATTAGATTAAAAAGTGACGAAATGGATTGCAAAGCAAAAAAAAAATGGGACAATATTGGACTAGCTCAACGTCTCTCTTATATTTTAATCATTTAAATGTGAGATCCATATAATTTTTTTTTTACAAATTTAATAAATTTATTTAATTAATAATAAATAATAACAATACCCAAAATATTTGTATCCACAAAATGAAACAACATCCCATGTGCCGAGGTCTGTTCGAACGTTAACGAGATACAAACTAAACATGATCAATGCTATTTCAATGGCCAACCACACAAAGGCACTACTAGCTTGAATACCCAATTCTTCTGGACTGAACCTGAAATAATAAAAATGTGTAATCTTGATTTGGTACTCCTGAAATGTGTACCAGGTAAGGTTTAGCCAGACAATAAATTAGGGATTTCAGATATGCCATAAAAACAATGAAAACAGTGTAATTCATGTATCGACAATATCAGCAATATAAGGACACACAATATTATGATGTTTTAAAAATCATTAGGTCCATAGAAAACTTGAAATATCAAGCCGAAAAAACAACATCCTTATGATAAAAACACAAACTTACTTGTCCAAAATACCTAAGGAAATTCCAGAAAAGAGAATGTAGGTGATATATGCCATGACTGAAAAAGAAACACATGAGTAAATTAGCAAAAACTATGGATGAAAAACAAAAAGGGAAAATTTTACTAAAGAACAACATACCAGGAATGTATAAATCTGGAGCATTGATATCAAAACGAGGTGCGACAGGAGTGTCTTGTTGATATTGCACTCCCCATTCCTGAAATTTTGTGAAATAATAGTAATTTGTAGCAATGGCTTATAAAATTTGCAAGTTAGTGTTATTCATAGAAATCGAATTTTATGTTTAGGTTCAAATAAATGTTTTCTGGTTGATTTTTGTTTCCATTGTCAGAAGTTAGTTGGAGTCTATTATATGTGTGACCATCTGATGTCTAACGCTTTTCAAATGAAAATATTTCAAATTATTCTTTTATGAATAGTTTAATAAATATACAATTCGTTTTAGATTTCACGAAAATAACAAAATTAGCATTTCGACTTACCTGATGAGTGAATGGGAAAGAAAGAAGGGCAAGTTTTTTGGCAACATATGTTGTATCAACAGCAAAGTAATATTTGAGTTTCGACACGGAGATGTAACGATCAACCTGTATATATAAACTTTATTTAATGAAATTGATATCAAATTAGCTAGACTGAAAAAATACTTTCAGAACTCAGACTTACAAAATAGGAGAGTATAGGACAGGGGTGTGCAACATATTCTGTTGGCGGGCCATATTACCAACTTTAAACATCTGGCTGGGCCATACAAAAGTTTAGCCTCTTAGTGTACAAAGCGAATTTATTATTATGTCACAATATAATGTGGTAAACAAGCATTATTAAAGTCTGCAGCAACGAAATTAGGGAGTAGGGACATCCAGATAAAAAGAGGATGCGGCTATTGCTTGGCCTTAAAGTAATAAAGATGCCAAGCAAAACGGTGAAAGATTGAACGCAGTGACAAGAGCGAAAAAACATTATGTACAGTATTTTTAACCATGTTAAAGCCTTTTTAAACATAAACTTTCTGATTAGGATATTTTATATGATGGGGAAAAATCTGAGTGTTGACAACGGGCACTCTAAATGGCTTGCCGCCTGTTCTGCCGCCGCTAGTTATGAGAGATGCTATAGTTTGGAGTACCCCGAATTTTTCCATTTAGACATTGCCTAACGCTTACCAAATTTACTACACCATGGGAATGAGATTTGAACTAGAGATGTCATTATAATTAAGTCTCAACACTTTGACCAAAAAATAAATGAACTGACATTTTTCTCGAGTAATTCTTTGCCTTGTCCAGCCAGATTTTGGCCATATTGCATTGCCATGTTCGCCATTGGATCGGCAAGTATATTGGCCCCAGGAAACTGTTGTTGAGGATTCATTCCATATGGTGCCTGTTGTGGAGGCATCATTTGAGGACCGCCGTATTGAGCATAACCCTGTCCTGCTCCACTTGTATCTTCAAACAGCGGCATTTCTTGTTGTTGTTGATTCCTTTGTCTATTCTTTGAACCTAAAGAAGAAATTTCAATATGGGGATTAAATGGTCTTTAAACTAATTCGAGTTTGCATTAATTGTTAGAATACTAAAATGAAGTTATTTGTACCTAAACTGTAATTAATATTTATAAAATGAAATAACTTTCCATTCAAGTATGTTAATAACTCGTATATTAGACGAAATATCAGAATTCAGTTCAATAACATTCATGATCAAGTTTCACCAATGAAATATATTGAGTAATCTTAAAAATATCATTGTTTACCTATGTTATATGAAAAATAAATAAAAATATCAGATTTTGATTTAAAGTGTTCGACAACAATCCGAATAAAAAAAAATGTTCACCTTTTCGGAAATGGCCTTGACCCTCCATCTTATACAAAGTGAGTTTGACAACAAATAGAGAAAGATATTATAAATACGAATATACTTTTAATATATCTATTATATAACAATTTTACAACAATCTGTAGAAAACAAGAGTAACAGAAAAATAATTAAAAAAAAAGTAAAAGGCATGATTGATATAATGAATTTTTTGGGATTTTCACAACAACAAAATACCATATCAAGATCGTTCTCTAAATCGTAACAACGTTATTCTATCAGTGTTACAACATAATTCAAACTGATAAGTATCATATAGCAGACAATGAAATTACGTAATCAAGTAGCTAAGTAACACTAAAACTGACATAATGAGTTGAAGTGTGTCATTTCAGTGATTGCAAATACATCATATATATTGGAATGAATTTCTACAAGGGTTGCATTTTGCTTGAATAGGCAATTTATAATGTTCTGACATTTTTTCAATCCAAATAGGCTCGTACTGTCAGTTAAATATTTCAAATTCCAATCTCAAATGCAAATAAGTAGGCACACCGAGCCATAGAAATTTGACGTCGTTAGGTTCCTGTGGAACAGTGGCTGCTTGTGCCTTTTTAGGAGGGAAGAAGAGAAAACCATGAACATTATGAATATGAAAACTATTTCAATGTAAATATACAGATTCAAATCATGGAATATATCAATAAATCAATCCACAGGAAATTCGACTATCAGCAAGTCTTTCTAATTTTAGAACATTATTAAAATACCCACAATGTAGAGAACCAATTCACTTTTTCTTTTACCCATCTATTCAAAGATGTATGGAATACAGGAACATGCAATGCCATGCAGCAAATTCCTTGTTTATGTGATCTACACTTCTATTTACGTATTAGTGACAAACAAATGAAGGAAAGTATGTCAGAAGGTTAATACTAGAAATCTCAGGCATTGTCAATCTTGTGTTTTGACAAATAGTTGTGAAAAGTAAAACCTTGAACAATCAAATTGCCCTGCTTTTTATATTGTAATTTGTAATCACTATAAACTTTCGAACTACATTGTTTCACAGCTAACAAATGGATTTTGAATATTCCTATGGATGGCATTACAAAGATCCTTTACAACGGGTACATAACAAAGTCCTGGCAAATACAGATTACACAAATGTTAATCGAATCAAGAGACTCCCAGCTTATTCAGTTCGTCAAGAATAGAAGAACTTTGAAGCGATAAAATTCGAGGAATATTGTCGGGAATCTTTGTGGGCGCTATTAACTAGTGGATAAAGCATTTGACCTAAGTGTGTTGTCATTGCAGGATCACTTAGGTTCAAATTCCATGCCTGGCAGTCCACTAAGATGTTATAAATTAGGTAGGCAATGCAGAACCAAAAAGAATAGTGGCCCCTTAGATATCAGTAGATGCTCAGAGCCAATTTTTCCATCAAATGATTACATTATGTATATCGCTGCACTATACATATTGCTCAAAAAACATTAGTCTGAATCAGATCCAGATGAGTCACTTTCACTTCCAAATATTTCTTGAGCTTGACGATTCTCTCCTTCCTCTTCTCCTTGTTCATTTTCATCACTTGAAGAAGCTGATGATGATTCTGCCTTCTTTTCTTCAACTTCCTCTTCACTGTGCTCACTTGCATCTTCTTCCTCTTCATCTTGTGTAGTGGTTTCTTTTTTATCTTCACTTTCTGATTCCGAGGATCCTGCTGCTTCTTCTTCTTCTTCACCCTCTTCTCCACCTTCCTCTTGAGATTCTTTCTCTCCCTCTTCAGCTGAAGATTCTCCTTCTAATTTTTCATCTCCATCTTCTTCTTCCAGTTCATCATCCTGTTTCTCATCAAAATCTTCATCAGCTTCTAATGGTTCCAACTGCATCCTTCGCATTTCTTGAGCTGCAAGTTCTTGGTCGTTTAGTTCACGATGGTGGACAGCAAGGACTGCATTCGTAGCAGATTGCAGTCCACCTCCTCCCTTTGCTCTTCGTTTACTAAGTCGCACTCTCGTTTCTAATTCATTGTAAACACACCATCTTCTCTCATTACAAAATAATAGTTTTCTTCGTAACCTTTTGATGCTTTATTTTTAACGTTCCAGTTATATTCCCTTGCAAGTTTATAATCGTAGAGCTCTTCTGGATTGTAATCCATGCCTTCTTCATTGTCTTGTTCTCGTTTTTTCAGAGTACCACTCGTTGGCAAGAAATAAGCGACAAATTGATCTCCTTCTTCATCTACCATACCTCTGATCATAGCCTGTGACATTTCTTGGATTTGCTGCTGCGGAGAACTACCTTTTACAGCAGGATCAGTATCAAATATAACTTGTGCACTGGGATGTTGCCACATTTTGAAATCTGGATAAATAGGAAGAACGTCAACAGGATATACATTCGGCTTACTATAATGCTTTTTGATATCAGTTTTTGCATCTTCAAACGTTTTCTGAATAGCCGCAATTTGACTATCCCTGTCTTTATACAAATCATCGTCTTTGAAGAGTTCCTTTATACCGGCCCCTAGACGCGTTTCCACATTAGTGTTATTGGCTCCGTATCGATTAAACTCTTGTGAAATGTACTCACTTCTTCTTAACCAAGAAACATTGATACTGTGTTGTTTAGAACGTTTTGAATCCTGTGGAGCCGGAAGATCTTCTTCCAGCAAAGCCTCATCAGCTGGATCAAGAGTATCTTTCAAATCAACTTTATATGTATCGGGGTTTATTAAATCAATCATCACACCCAAGTCATGATCAGTATGAAGATCAATTTTATGAAGTTTTTCTAGTGTTGTTGGTTTGTATTCAACGAATCTATTTGCTTCAAACGGGTAGCATATGAATTTGGGATCAAAAGGAATATCTGGTAATTGTTACAATATTTAACTCTTGTAACCAGTCCAGTTCTTTCTATTGTTCCACCACGCCCACTTCTTCCATCCTGCTTTCCCTTCTGATTCTGAATAGTAGGCACTGGAGCCATTATGTTATTGTTACAACATATCGATATAAGGAAAACGTAGATGGCTGTATAATAATAAAGCATGACAAAATTTTAGTGAATAATCCAGTATCATAGTCCTAATATTTTCTGACTGTACTTTATTAGTAATATTTTTTATTTTTTTTTGTATAGGATGGATGTATAGGATGGAATAGTATTTTCATATTTATGCAACAAAAAGTGAAGATGATAGGCTTACTGTGATAAGATGGCTTAATCATACAGAAGACCACAGCCCTTGTACTCTTGTACTGTATGGTTGTCAATTACTGAAATAAGGTCAGGTATGGGGAATAGGTATGGCATGTATGGTAATTCAGTAATTATTTCCACAAGATTTCAACCTTACAAAATATGTTTTCGATGAATTAAAGATAAATATTTCATTAATTTCAGAATTTCCATCTCCCTATTACTCTATTAAATTTCCAATCAAACCAATTCAAACAATAAAATATTGAAAACTTCATAATAGGGCTTACATATCAATACAAATATTATGTTATTCCACTATATTATTACAACTGCAAAAATTCTGAAATTAGGACTGATAAAAATCATACCAATAGCTGAATTCTGCAACACCATTCAGTTAACATAATCCAGAATGTTCATAAAAAAAAGGTAATGCATTCAGGCGCCATTCAGTCATTGGCGCACTGCGCATGCAAGTCATGATAATATTCACAAATAAATGCAGAAATACTTAAATCTGTGAATGGCTATATGACAGTATGAAGATACCCAAGTAGTCTACTGAAGTAGGCAAACTAAAGGGTCCCTCATCCCGTTTTTCACTTACAGACTTGGGATATTCTATGCAGCTATAAGATTGACATTACAATGTCTGAATGTACGGTAGCGGCGGTGTGGCTCAACGGGCTAAGCGTTAGGAATACGCTCGCCACCGCACCTCTAATTACTCTGCATGGGTTCGCAGGTTCGAATCCCATGCAGGGATGGTTATGTGCGAGAGGATTGCTGGACTCCTCGTCGTCGTTGGGTGGTTCACGTAACCGCTGGTCGGTTACAGCTTCTGCACCACCAAGTCCATGCTTCCGAAAACAAAACAATATAACTAATCCCATACCCGACTTGGAATGGTAAGAGGACGAGAGGCCGTGGTTCGCCATATGGATAACCCTCTTATCGGCTTTCCTCTCCCCCGGGATAAATATGTAAATCCTATCCTATCTGGAACTTTTTACGTGTCATGTTTAAGCCGTAATTAAAATTGCAAAAACTAAGCTGAATTCCTTTCTTTCATAATTCTTGTGCCATGACGGAGTACGAAAAAATTATCTTACCAGTCTGCCAGTACCCGTACCCAGTAGTACCGGTACTTTGGGATTTTCCAGCTTTGGGACACCTACGCCGCAGCTCAATCTGCTAACAACTGAACAACGTCACGAGAAATCAAGCGTGAGTTTTTCATGACTGCTACTTTTCTACGTCAGCTACGCTCAACGACTAACATACCGGCTACGCTCAACGATAGAGGAATCCTAATGTCAAACACTCGAAAATCTGTTTAAATGAAATTTACCCCTGCGTCATTTTTGTTGACGATTGTATACGAAATTGGTACAATTCATACTTCATGAAGAACAAATTAATCAGGATCAAATTTTCAGTAGCTGAAGATAGATGTGGTCGCTAGAATGCTATAAGATTGATTTTATTTGGGCATTGCTCTTCTTGTTCGGTTATTAGCAATAAACATAGATTCTATGCTACCTGTCGCCGAGTGATAGACAGTCTCCGACATGCCCTGCGTAATCATTTTTTCCTCAAAGGAATGTCGGTTTTTCATTCTTTGTTATCTACGATTATTCGACACGAAATGTACGTATGAATCGTTTTGTTATTATATTGTCGTCCTTCCTATTGATATTTTTCTTCTTATTGTAATAAAATTTTCGCGTCTCTTTTAACAACTAGACCAACAAAGATTGAAGGCTATTATTTTTTGTTTGCTACGATGTCATCAAAAATTGCGCACATGCCGGTTCCTCTTTCTCATTAATCGCGAAAGTTTAGATTGCATACCAGTACTACTTCGTTTAGGCCAGATTCCGCATCGGCCTACTTCACTCGGACACTAATGAATTGCAACAAATTTTAGTGCCGATCTCGGGATTCATTTTAATAAATTCACGAAATCACCTAGAAGGAAATTTTTGCTTTTGCAATATTGTTAGATTTGTACAAGTAATACAAATAAATATCCTGAATGTTTGGATTTGATGGTAAATAATAAAAAACATATATATAATCAATGTTTATCTTATGAATGGAACAGAATTGATACGAACATTGCAGATTCATATACTTCATTACTATCATGCAAGAATCAATACAAAAATTGAAGCACGAAAAACTGTCAATGGTGTATAATGGCAATCAGGTGTATAATGACAATCACAAAAAATGTCATTATATAAATAGCAAATTCATACAAGTGAGAGATTCATAGCAATCGATAAGGGGTCGCGAAAGACTGTGACAGTCATTGGGTCAGCGACACCTGTTGGTTGAAGTTTTAGAGGGAATGATAGAAAAATTATACAAATTTAATCACTCAAAATGAACAGAAAAACAAAATATTACCAGAGAAATAGTAAATGCGAAAGTTGCTGATCGTGATTGAAAAAGGTATATCGTAATATTTGCGCAAATATCGAACAATTTTGAATATAAATCTCGGCCATAGTGGAAGAATCATTTTGAAGTCATGCTGGTATATTGCATAATTGATGAAAAAAGTGCAAAAATCAAAAAGGTAACAAACAAACCCTTTTCATTAATAATAATAATTAATAGTAAGAAAATGCGAAATTAAAATGTTGTGACGACAACATTTGACACCAATATGATGGAAAAAAATATAGTGATATGCTCGAAATGAGATATTTTGAAGGCCAAACCAAATTTAAAAAAAAAACTAGTGTGGTGATTATTGACATAGGAGCCCTATTTTCGGAATAAATAAAAAGTTTAAATTCAGGTAGTCATTTTTAGGATAAATTTAAATTCATGAGATTGTTTTTTAACAACATTGTTTAGATTCTATATGTAGTTAGTTACTAGTGCTGCATAGGAGAGGCACGAGCCATGACTATCCCTTGAGGGTAAATATTAAATGTAATGGTAGTGTTGAGGCCAACTTGTTCAGGAGGATCTGAATCAAAAACATCATACAACGTGTACTTCGATGCTGGATTTTGAATGTTGAGACTGAACAATGTAAATGAATAAGCAGCCGCACCTCCAGATGATGTGCCAGTATATATTACTGCAATGGCTTGATCTCCTTTCGACAAGGGCCTAACCCACACCTGTAAAACATCGGAATGTTGTGCATTTTACAAGCAATTCCAAAATATAAAAGTTCAGGAACAACTTCCAAATTACCAGAATCTTTAGATTTATTAGGGATTAACCCGGAGTATATCAAGGGACACTTCTAGAGCCTACATAAAATCTATTTTTAATATATGTATCTTAATTTAGGCCAATCAAAGTAATGTCGCAACCCCTACATACATACAAATACAAAATACGGCAATGATCTTTACCTGGAAATCTTTATCAACTTTTTCACGACGGCCCTGCATTCCCAATGGATCCTGATCAATTGCAATTACTTTCTTATTTTGCAACATCTGCCTCATTTTAGGATCAATTGTTCTCAAGTCAACAGAAACTAATAGAGGTGCAGCCAAGATTGCCCATATTCCTAACAAATGATACATTTGATTATACAATAAATGAATACATAGTGAAAATTATTTTAACTAAGGATTTCAGGATTATATATCTTCAAAGTTTAGGCTTAATTTATCACATGATATGCAACTGTTTTTGAAGATTCAAGATTTACTTCCATAAAAATGAATATTAAATGATATCAATCAAAAATATTCTGGATTTTTTGAATGAATTAAATATTAAAGTCGAACTAAATGAAATTTCTTGAAGTTGATACAAAAATTATGCATTACCAAACTGCAGCTTTGCTTGCTCATAACTCAGAGAAAAGTCGCCTCCAATCAGCATATCTGGATCATTCCATCCTCCAGGTCCAGCCGCTGGAATATAAACATCTTGGTGATCTCCAAACCAATTTATAATTTTCAAAACATCATCAAAACTATCTTGAATGTCATCATAATTCCTCCACATATTACATGATTCTTTCACAAGAGTAAAGTTGACCTGAACAGTATAAAGATTTCAGATTAAAAATTGACTTTTTCATCAAGTTTGCTCAAAACAAAAAAATTTTTCAGAGTTTACCGTACGATATCACTGCCATTGAATGACCACAGAAATGCCATAAATTATTCCCTTTTATTTTCAGGTAGATATCCTATAGCATACTTCATTACTCTCAGATTCCTGTATACGAAATATCCTATTTTATTCATAATATACTAACCTGAGGAGGCAGGTGTCCATCATCCAAAGGCCATCCACATTCATACACTATATGCCGTCCAGTCTGATTCAACATTTTAGTCATTAGAGGGAAGCCAGTCAGTTTTTGTTCATGGCTTGAGTAACAACCATCCAATTTCAACATGTCTATACCCCAGGATGCAAATGTCTCAGCGTCATCTTTTTCATGTCCTAGTGTACCAGGGTATCCAGCACACGTCAGTTCACCCATATCTCCATATATTCCCAACTTCAAGCCCTAACATACAATAATAGATACATGGATATTCAAATATATGGCATCTTCTTAAATTCTCAATTCCTATTACATAAATGCAATTAATGAATCAACAAATTTAAAAACAAAAGTACAAAGGATTTGTACAGAGCATCCAATTAGATTTTTATCATCATAAATTTGTAGAATTAGCATACCTTGCCATGCATGTAATCTGCTAAAGATTTCATTCCATTTGGAAACCTATCTGGATCAGGAGTAAGCTTTCCATCCTTTGTTCTGAGTTTGGCAGGCCAACAATCATCTATATTGACTTGTACATAACCAGCAGCTTTCCACCCATCTCCATCCAATCTAAAAATATTGGGATTGTATTTCCTTTTTTTTATATTACAGTAATTTTGATAAACAGACCTGTTTGTTGTTGCTGTAGTATATATGATGTACAAATGCAAATGATTGCCAAAAGTGCGGTATAAAATAATACCTAGTGTATTGAGCATATGCTAAAATCCTGGGGTATATTGTCTGAGATATAACCTTTTGATTGGGAAATTATTCATGTCATATTGAGCACTGATTATGTTTCTGTAATTAAGAACAATCATGAACATATGAAAAACAATAAATATATTTATTTAAGAATAGATTGGTTGATTAGCCTATTATTAAATAAAAAGACCATGGATTTATTTGAAATTAACAAATAAGATAAGGAATTAGGAACAAAAGTATTTATAATAGGCCTACATTCCAATCAAGTGATTAGATAATTGATAAAGTGTGATGTGTAACTTAAACAATGTTAAAGACGACAAGTTTGTTCTACAATTACATTACTCACCGATCAGCCATATCTTTGAATAACTTTTCAGAAATGCAGGAATCTGGGTAATTTTTACAGTCGGTATTGCATCTGAAGCGTTCCCAAGCAAGCCAACCCATTGGTGGAGTACGAGCTAGACCATTATCCAATGTACATACATGTTCAATGACTAGTAGAGTTGTCAGTAATATCACCAGTACATTCATGGTTGATGACCAAAAATAAACCAAATGCTAGATGCTTGAGTTCATTAGTTAGCCTGTCACAATATAATAATTGAAATCGTACCAGTAATCAGTCCAATACCATTCTGCCATATATTTATAAGAATATACAGAAATAATTCAGAGTATGACAAAAAAATATTACTATTATATGAATCAAAATGCCCTCAGATTGTTAGGATAGATTTTTATACACACCACTCATTTTTTACTAATTTACATTAGTAAACATTACTTGACCGTTGAATAGTGTATAAGTTAGGTGGATTAAAAAGAATCTAAATGCGTTAATAATATAATTTAATCATGTTTTTCAATGACAGAAAAAATAAGGTAATGATGCTAATTTGTCACTGCCTAACAGACTAATAATGTTAAGTATTGCAGGCATAAACAATCAATATTCTCATTCACTGGTAAATTCAAATAGTTTTCAACTAGCAGACTACAATTTTATTGCAAAATATCATAAATAAAATAATATCAAAAAGAATTAATACCAGTACATTATTAATATGTTCCATAATCATCATCATTTATACGATTACAATATTATTATTTTTAAAATAAAGCATGTAAAAACAAGTTTTTCCAAATATATTATTTATCTACTAATTACATATGATATAGGATGGGATAGGATTTACATATTTATCCCGGGGGAGAGGAAAGCCGATAAGACGGCTTATCCATATGGCGAACCACGGCCTCTCGTCCGGTTACCATTCCAAGTCGGGTATGGGATTAGTTTTTACTGTATTGTTTGTTTTCGAAAGCATGGACTTGGTGGTGAAGGAAGCCGTAACCGACCAGCGGTTACGTGAACCACCCAACGACGGCGAGGAGTCCAGCAATCCTCCCGCACATAACCATCCCTGCATGGGATTCGAACCTGCGAACCCACGCAGAGTAATTAGAGGTGCGGTGGCGAGCGTATTCCTAACGCTTAGCCCGTTGAGCCACACCGCCGCGCCATATATAGGCCTACATATATACCGGTAGTCAATTGTATATATAGCGTACCTTCTATATTTTATAGATAATAGTCTTCATACACAGTTACATAATAATCTTAGCTCTCTTGTAAAATTAGGTGAATTTCTAAGTTTTTTCTACTTTATTTCTACATTTCAAAGCATTTTTAACTGTGTTTATCACACTATTAACACTTCGCATAACATTTTGAAAAATTACTGCATTTCGATGCAACCAATTCCTATACCTAGTAATAGACCATAACAAAATAATAGCATTTTTTTCTACATTTGATAAATGTTCATAACGAGGGTTACTCAAATCTAATAATACACAAGTTTCATAATCAACTGAACCGTTATTTTCATGATAATCAAAAAAAATCATATACCGTACTATATTTATACCGGTACTAGTTTTGCTACCGGTAGCAGGCAATTAATTATACATTTACTACAAGAATTGCAAACACGGAATAAAACTAGACTACAACGCTCCCGCACTTCAACAGTGTCCGGACTTTAAAGGTGGAGATACTAGCAAAGTGATTGATGGCCAGAACGTGCTGATGAGAGTCATGCATCATTCGTCATATATTATGTTTCACGTAAAAAATATAAACAAATTACGTCAGATTATTTATATCAATAGAATATAGTATTATCTCATTTATATATATTAGATATTGGTGTACTGTGTACCCAACATGTAAATTCAATAGAATACGTTTAAAAAAATAAATTTTGTCCGGAGACTCCATCGATAATCGTTATGAATTACGGGGATTCCCCACATAACAAACGTTACCAAGACATTTTTAAGTTTTGGGCGGCTAGGCTTTTTTTCTGCATTATTCAGTTTTGAGAAGCAGTTATGTTATTTTCACTGTGTATCGTTTGTTTAATTACTGGATTTTCTAACGGACAAACATCAGGTAAGTTACTACATACAGTCAGGGTTTTTTCCTAGACCTAAATTGTTAAATACAAATAATTGTTTGGATAACAGGATAAACGTGCATAAGGTAGGAATGTTACAAAACGCGCTTTTTCGCGCCAAAAAATGTACGCACCACGTCTGCTAAGTACCGTAACGCCGTGTCAGAATACCGCTCATAAAAACGACTACGGGCTGCCTGCTGTTGCTTGGAATTCCATGAAATTTGGACATAACTTAGATAAAATGCGCAACTATGATTTGGTATTTGAATTTTTTCATTAGCGCATAAATTTCCCAACATTCGGGGCTTTTAAAAATTACGCTAAAGTTATACGTACTGCAAATTAATGATATTGTCTATGGACACCAATAAAATATATATGGACGCATGTATGTCATTCCTAACTTGATACTTACCAATTTTTATGAAGTTTGTTCAATCAGAACATCGTTAATTATTACCCGCAACGAGGCACTGTCAAACTAATATGCTCAACTCCAGCGTTGATTTGCGACGATCTTCCGACGGCCTCAATGATCGTTGCCAGAATAAAATCCTAAAGTAATCTGAATTTTCTTAGATGTGACGTACATCAAAAAATTAAAGATTGATATGTGTTTTTTTTTCATATTTATTAAAGTTCTTATTGAAAAAACTCAATTCGTATACGTTTACGAAACGGTACAAATTGATTCAAGGCACGAGAAGTATGATCTTAGCACGCGTCTGTCAACGCGCATCAGTTATCGACTGAATGCCGACATTTTCCCTCGCAGCGATTTCTCTCGTTTTGCGTTTCACTAAGCGCGGTAAATCTCCTACGAGTTAAAGGAATATTAAACGATAATTAATCGTTCACTAAGGTCGGATATGAAAAACGCTAAATCAGTTAATTGCCGCGTATGCGGGAACTTGCGTATTGGGAAAGTCGTTGCCGACCAGAGGTTATGTAAAGTTCAGAAACTTTTTCGTACATAATTAATTGAAAAGCAGCTAATATCGTTAAAAAGAATTTGTAAATTTTTTTGCATTAGGTTCTTCTATTCACAATAACTTTTCGTTCAAAATTTTTTTCGATTACCTCCAAAAATAGCCGAGATACATTCTCTTGTTTATCGGTCTGACATTCTCGCGGTCACAGTTTTTGAGTCGGCGCAATACAATCCTTATGGAAAAAAATTGGTCCTATCGGCCGGTACTTAAATGCAGAATATCTCCGTTAATTCTTGACCATTTTTCGCAAACTTGGTATTTGTTTCTTATTTTCACTTAGGATCTATCCACTGGTGCAGTTTTTATTCAAATCGGATGAACTTTAATTTTTTTGTAACATACCTACATAAGGTTTTCCTGTTTCTCCGCATATAGATTAAAGTCAATAATAGGATTTAATCATATGGAATCAACATGTTTAATATTGATTGAATTTAAAAGCGATCATTTTTTGTTGTCATGTGGTAGATCATGCTAAATACTGAGGTATGTTTAAATTATATATCTATCTATGTTTTACAGGAACCAATCCAGCATTCGAAAACATTGCTCCTTGTGGATGCGATCTGACTTTGAACCAATATGATAACAACTGCTGTTGTGACCCAGTAAGTTTTAACAATTGTGAAGTCCATGGAAGCAAACTAAAGCTTGACAATAAAAATGATTGGTGTTAATTAATCACAATTAATTTTTTTGAATGTATGTTAATTTTTCTCAGCATAACATAATAGAAATATGTTATAACATAGGCAATTCCTACTTTTTTATTTCAATATCTGATGAGTGGATATTTACATTTTTAAAAGATGATGTAATGGTATTTTTCACAAGGAATTGGAATTCTTACAAATCCTAACCTTGTCAAGCTTTATACATGTGATAAATAAATAATAAATTGAAGGACATGCAAGTTCTATCTGTAGCACAATGTTTCTAATAATTACCAAAATTTAGAAGGTGGAAAGTTGAATGAAATTAGATCAGGATCTCCAAATCGTGAAAGTCGACCAAAATTACTAAATTTTTTATTTTTATTTTTAAAGGACATTACGAATGAAGGGAATATATCAAACTGCATTTCTGGACCTTACGGAGGAAACTTTATGACTTTTGACGATAGAATATGTCGATTTAATCAATCTTTCACTCCTGATTGGTTTCCTTTCCTCTGCATTCAGTTTTTAAACTCTCCTGATCTGGGGTTGTATTACTATCCATCCATTGCACCAGGGTAACTTACCTTGTTATGGACATGATGTACAGCTTTTTTTTGCTAGAATGCTGTTTTGAAAATATGTCTATGTTTGTTCATGTACATCAGTTACAACAGTGAAAACTGAGTAAAAAGATGATCACTTCCCTTGTTTTGTAGATGTTACCATGTGTGATCCACTACCGCCAAAAGTCCTAGTCCCTAATTGCTGATGAAATTTCCATGATAAATGTTTTTGTCAATATCTCATGCTTTATAGGGAATTTTCCCTGAAGGGTTTTTCTTTTCGATGTTTTAGATTTTACATACTACCATATTTACTGTAGTTTTAAAATCAAGAATACATTCTAGTTTCAAATATTTTTGCTTCAGTATGCCAGAATATGACCCATCTTTGGGTCAAAAGCATTGTATATTCACATTGATAGAGGATATAGTATTCGATAATATAATATTTTTATGTTGCACATGGTGCGAACCTTCAGACATTAACAGACGACATTTCTTAGCTCAACAGTGACAGTTTCTTCAGTTCAATACAATTACGCCGAAGTAATATCGACAAGCGTTTGTGGCCAGAGCACCACACATACATATGGTGTTGCAATCGGTGCAAAATCTAGTGGTGTCGATACTTGTTTGAGACTGCCTCAAGTGAGTACAGCAAAATACACTATTAGCATACATATTTGTGGTAGAGCGACGCACAGAGTTATGAAATGGATTCATTTATCGGGCATTGGTATTAGAATTTTAATATATAATGTAACGAACGGTATATATATATATGTTGGTACTTGAATCTGACTGCATCAATTAGTGACAAATGGTGTTACTGCTGGTATATAAACAAAAGCCATAACCATTTTATCTATTGCATGTAGAATTCAATTTCTGGCAACTGTATATCAAGTCCAGTTCGATATCTTGTGGATACAACAGCATCGTGTGATACAACAACATCCGAAATCCTCTGCTCAGCTGGAACGAAACTTGATGCAGCTTATTATACATCCTTCAGCATAGGCAATATTGTAAGTGAACCAATAGACAATGCAAAATTAGCAGTTTTATAGCAATCTATGATCAAACGGAAGACTCAAAACCCTAAGCACCAAGTCTCCGAAAATTACTTCTGAAATCCTTTGCTCAGCCGGGACAGAGATTAATGTTACAAAACCTAAAACTAGCAGTTTAATAGAGACCTATCAAGGACTCTAAACCCTTCAAAGCTCAGGGTCTCCGAAAATTACTTCCTACTATGCGATAAAATATTTTCAGGTTGCCAGCGTCTCCTACTTTTGCTCTCGAACAATCAATGACCCTCTTTATGTGAAGACCAACCTTGGCTCAACAAGCACAAATACTGAAAGTCTTTTTCAGCAAACTTCACTGACAACAGGTATGTACAACATGCAATGGAACTTTATTATTATAAACAGGCAGAGATGACTGAATGATAAAATAAATATGGGGACTTCTAGAACACACGAAAACACATTATTATACCTAATCAGAACATTTTACACAAAAATAACAAAATAAAAACAATGACTATCATATGAAACTAGCAAAAGCACTACCAGTAAAAGCATGAATAGAAGGCTTGCAGTGAGTAGCACACAATAAAAGGATAGCAAGACAGACAGGGGTTAAAACGATGGAAAGACATTGGAACATTACCATGCCATGGGTACAAATGTATGTTGTGGAAGACCATTCAATGGGCTAAAATAGTTCAGGTTACGATTTACCTGACATTGATTACTACGAAATTGCTGTTCAAGTTGTTGTTCTTCAAATTGTTTTTCATATGAACGTTTTGCATTTCTGGTCATTCCTACGACCATGTTCCGGACCTGCTCTGTCCAAATTCAGTGAAAAATAAATATTGATTATGTTAGAGAATTGAGATAAATAGGTAGTATAGAGTTCAGAAGTCTATAATATATAATAAGAGGGCTTGAATAGCTTTAAACAATCGCTTTCTACTGGTATGTAATACTGATATGTAATACTGATAAAGACCAAGTATGTGTCAGTGATTTAGGCTTGAGGTTTCTGGAAAATGCGAAATGTTCAAAAGTAAAATGGATTTATCAAAATGCATTCACCTTTTTGTACATCTCCACAATATCCGGTGCAGGATGTTTCTTCATACGCTTGTACAAACGATCACGGACAGCAATCATTTCTAAAATTTCATCAGTGATCCATGCTTTGTGCTTGTGATATACACCGTTAGCAGAGAAGTCACCTGATGCAGGTGAGTCCATTGCTGGACTGTGAATCTGAGGTGGCGTTTGTAAATTCGTTCCGTACTGTTGTGCTGGTACAGAATTGAGTTGAGGAAATCCAGAAATCGGTGGTGGCATCGGCAGCCTGGAAACCCTTGCGAGCGGGGTTTGTGCAATGCTAGTAACTGGATGAAATGGTAGTGGAACAGGCATAAAATTTGGAGGGGGTGGTGGAACAGGCCAACCAGGTAAAAATGGAGGCATAGGTGGTGGGATCGCATTCAGAGGTAGAGGAGACATATTGGTTTGACATACGCTGCCATTTGTGAACGAACCATTGGAAAGTCTCCTGCCTTGCATTGAATAAGGCAAGGGTGAAGATGGCCAAGATGTGCAAGTGGATGATGTGAACCCGCATTCTGAGCCAACATCATCGGAATCTACACTGCTGCCTGGTAGCCGTATTTGAAAACCTGCAAAGAAAATTGATTCATTTACTTGAAATAAAATTTTCTAACTGATTTCTTCGACCTGTATACCAAATCAATTTAGTCACCATTTGCTTTTGCACCATCACTCTCATTTGCAGATGACAGGTATCCAGAATCCATTGTGGAGCAAGTAAAGGATGAATGCAGCCTTTTCTTTGATGATTTCTTTGTGCCAATTGCCTATCAAATGAACAAAGAAAAGACTTCAGTGATCAAGCTTTCTGATATACATGGCAAGGATATAAGATAGTTGCATCTTACCTTCATGCAGTTACTCTCGTTGGATGACTGCGTCCCTTCATCATCTGCATCATTATCACTGCTGTGATTGCTAGAAGATTGTCCAGTAGATACTGGGCTTCCTCCCGGGTATGGCGAAGGATTTATCTCCATGATATGGCGATAGATATCAAAACCAGAATTATTAGTCAGCTTCTGAGCAACTTTATTCGAAGAATTTGACCATGGGCTATTTACTGATGTGGCAGACTTTGAAGACTCCACGGCTTCTTCACCAGGAATATTCCAAATACTGGTATCATGATCAGAGTGTGACCTGTTCACGAGATAAATTTAGATTCACCATTTTTTAATTAACATTGGAAGTAATATAAATCATGAAGTAAACTCTTACTCTTTGTCAGTCAACTCTTGCAACAAATTCCCAGCTTCTTTGCTCCAATCATCTACTGGTTTTGCACAAGCCAGTGATGTTGGATAGTAAGACTTCATGAAAATCTTCATGGCATCAGCAAAATTGTCAGTTACATTGCATGGTTTGATATTGTTGGATGTAACTTCTGCAACTTTATTTTGCTGTGGAGGTGGAAGCTGGGCCGAATCCATATCAGCATTCAAAACTAATCCCCGCTTCTACAATAGAGAGGTTGAGATCTTATGTAGATAACTAATGTCGGATATAGAGGCCACTCACGTCAAAGCTGTAGACAACTGTTTTGATTGTTTACATTTTGCAAAATCTTATTGTTTTCAATTGTAGAATGATGGAATTAAACTAGTATGTAGGGAAGCCTTTGCTGTTTTCTGATCGATTGGGAGATATACTTTTGTGTAATATTAGCTTAAATTCCTCTCATTAGTCAATCATACTAGCGTTACCTTCATGTTTTCGAATTCCTGATAAAGGACTTGGAATTGTGGTTGAGTTGGTTTTATTGGATCCTTTGGTGTTTCCAGGACTCTCGTGGGCATTTTTAATCTTGGTACCTAAATTGAAAGCAAGGTATTTAACAATGCTTTGGATGCCTGACAGATTCATGTTCTCACCAACATCATTAATTTCACATGCCTTTTAGTTCATTCATGGCCATATTTGAATTTTTTCAACGCCAAACTTAAGTTATTGAAACAGTACATTTGACAGATTTCTTGAAGCATTGAATGATAAATGATTTTTCTAACCCTTGGCATATTGCCAATTTCTGCCTTCGTAAAAATTTTGTACTAACTTTCTACTAACATCTTTGAATATTCTATCGGATGGTGGAGTTTGTTTATTACTATTTTAAGGTAGTCTTACATTTACCTCACACGCTGGTATGTGGATTCCTTGTCTTGGAATAGACGGTGGAATTGTGGAAACTGGCACTCCATTGTTATGGCTGAGATTTTGCCTAGAGTTTCTTGAAAACCGCACTGGATATTGTCGATTCTCGTGATAACCTTGCCTTTGGTATTGTGGTGTCCATCGCCTCCCTCGTTTATTATCGGCCATTACATGATTCACTGCGACTCCCCGTCTATGCATTCCTTCAGCCACCATCATTGGGCAGCCTTACTGTGGAAATGACAAGGTACATGTATATACTTGTCTGAAATGGCTGTTTGTTTACAATATCCCATGCCCTTGCCGCCGAATATTCTTAGGTATGTTAAATATCAGTTGGACATTGTCCGGGTGAGAAAAACGGGTAGCAGATCGGCGACATTTGTCCAAGGTTGGACAATAACATAACCACAACCAGAGAAAAACATCTCGAACGTTTCAGGTTACGGAAATTAACGAGGAAATGCATCCATTTTGTGCAGCTATCTATTAGGACGTACAACCTGTTGTAGAGTAAAATGGATTCCACTTACCTATCAAATGTTGAGCTGGAAACAGGTCTTTTGTTTTGAAATCGCTATCGCTTGTCGTTCGGATTCAAAACCATAAAACGTGGGAAATAGAAATAAAAAATGGACAACTCTTAGCTGGTGAAAGTAATAGCAGCTCCTAAGTTGTTATTGAAAACCATACAACGTTATAAAAAACATGTAACAAACGGAACACAAGAGAAAAGAAACGATGTGATCCAAATTTGCCGAGAAATCGAACCGTCCGCAGATATGACGTCACATGGCTAAGCTCCCGCGAAAAAATGCTCGACGTAAATTATCAGGGTAATTATTAGGAGTCGTGCAGAACAGGACATTATTTCTGTTTACATACACTTATTTTTGTAAACAAATCGACGTCTATGTACGGTTTGCTTCGTAGTTTTGTTCATGCAAATGCAAATTGTCAGCGAATACAGTTCTTTGAAATCGGACTTTCTATGATCATATGTCAGACGTATTTCAAATGATGCATATGTAACCGAATGTGTGTAAATGGATTATGTATTGCCATTTCACGCGGGTTTTGTATGCCTAAGGAAGTTTTCCGCCACACATTCGTCTCAGTATCTTCCAACTATATAAAAAAAATGTACACATTTAGTCTAATTCATAGGATGCATCACTTTTAATGTTATAAACTTTAAATATGTACGATTTTGATTTTTGTATCCATTTTTACTGAGTTTTCCATTAAGTTTATTTTACATTTTCCACGCTGATGACACTCATTTTTACACTATCAGACCCGACTACTTGCAACTATGCTGCACCATTATTTTCGTCTGCTGGCTCTTCTTGTCAAAATTCGGTGGCATCAGTCAGCTATACAATTACCTGGAACGGAACGAACATAACTGCTTTTGATGTTGCGGTTACTTTGGTAAATGTTAGCTTGACTACTACGGATTTAGTATGTAAGTAATATTTGACATTGTTGGGTGTAATATAAACGCATTGTTTTTTGAAGGTTTGCTATAAAAGCAAATTTGGAATTTAATGTTGATAGAATAACTACACATACGAAATATATACAATAGGTTTTTCCATACAAGGTAATTCTCGATTTCAAATACCCTACTAAATTGGCTGATAATGTTAACTTTTGTTAGGTAAATACACAAGACCTCAAACAGTGACCGGCAGTCTAGGTAATATAAAAATAATAAACGTTGATTAAGACTTTGTAATACAAAATGAATTCTTCTCTGCATTCTATTACTAAGGACAAAATCACGATAAAAGGAATTTTAAATTCTAGCATGTAGTAAAGTCATGCAGTATACCATCTCAATTATACATGATTATGATATATATGGTTGAATTCAATGAGGCACACCTAGGATCACCGCGGGGCCTATGGAAACTGCGGCTGTATATATTGCAGTGGCCAAAGGTTGGCCCTGCTGACAGCTTCATTTATAAGTTCACTTTAAGATTCCCTACGACGCAATCATTTAATATTGTTCATGCTTACAGCTTCTGGATCTGGACCGAATTTCGTACTGGCTCAGAAATTCACTACAACATTTGTTCCATCGACTTCAACGAATGCTGTTGCACAATCCGGAGATCCCGGTTACGAATACGGACTTCCAATTATCAGCGCGGAAGACACAGGAGCAACTGAAGTCAATAGGACGACGCAATTGAGCGTTTGGAGTCCAAGTATGTGTTCTGTTTATCATGTTTTTGTAGCTTATCGTGTGTACAATCACGGAAATGAAGTTTAAGATAGCGACCATGTGAAAAAGGATACAGAAAGTACTGGGTTAATACAGATTTCCATAAAAATTATGATAGTTTTGACTACCAGTAATGGGTAAAGGCTACCTGTAGCTCTAGTTAAAGCTCAAAGCATACTTTTCATGCATTTCGTGATTACAAATGTTGTTTAGTGGAATTTGTAAGTAATAGGATTATAATATTTTTGGCTGTATGGAATCTAGTAGTTAGTTTCTGAAATACCCTGTAGCGAAAATGAAAGAAGCTGTCGACCTTTCAAAATAGAATGATTTTATTACTGCAGCACATATAAAATTAACACTGTTCAAACCATTAAACAATCCCCAAAGTTGCCGACAATCACGTTTCACGATTCGTTGCACTACTCGGTTGATTTCTTATCATACAAAGAGTTTTAGCCAGGTTTGGTCATATCCTGGCAAACTCTTTCCAGTTATTTCGTTGCTCCATTTGGTAAATGGGTGCTGTTATTCATTGTCCTGCTGATGATAACTTCATTTCACTTGCGAACGACAATTTCACAATGTGATTCAACTTCAAACGTTCTTGATTCGATTGAAAATTTCTCACCGGTGTTAAATGTGTATCGTCCGTTAGGCTTTTCGACGATGAATAAGGCATGCCTAAAATGCAAAACGAAAGTTTTCAATGGCTGATTTATTCACTAATGCGATTGTGAAATTCGGATAATCTTGGTTGGGATTTTGAAATGTTGCTTGCTTCACTTTACTCTGACAATTTTTCGAATTCGTTTGCCCTTTTGTTTTGCTATTAAGATTTTAAACACCATCCTATGTATTCCAGTTTCATAGTGCCCTAACTTGTGTTGTGAATTTCCTCCGTGTCAAACAGTACATCGTAATATGTAAACTACACAATTACTGATTATCATCATATTGTGGTTCGTGCGCGCATACATAGTCTTCGAAATATCCAAATCTCAGCATGAGATGTACTCTGTGAGATTTATAGTGATTAGTGACCAATCGGATACATGCGTGTCGAGGTCCAAAAGCAGGGTTGTGGTTCAGGAGAAATTTACCACCGTCTCGGATTGTAACTTTTTGGTTTCATAGATACGAACTCCGAGAAAAGCAAGTTTTGATAACAAAAGATTTTATGTCTTCAAGCCTTAATAGAATGTTACGAAGCTCTTATAAAGTGGATTCTTTTCAATTTTCGTTTATCGCGATCGAACGTCTGGCTTCCCGACCTCGGAGAGTTTGTAAATACGATTCAAACTCTGGTGAAAACATGCCAAACTCCAACGTCACAGCCCTGGCCAAAATAGTCAAACCCTTCCATTTTTTAAAATTTTGAAAACAATTCGTAGCTGAATTTACTTTTCAATAAAAATTTCGTAGAATCTCATAATTTGGGTTTTTACGATACGTGAATGGCATCATTTTTTATTATGCTTAGGTACTACTCCACCGCCAGTTAAGTAGAAAATTCGAAATACCTTTTCAAGAATCCTTGCCTACAATACGCTGGTTGATTATTTTTTTGTTGCATCACTTGTTCTTTCGGTAAAAACAAATCCGTGTTCCTTCGTTTCATTCCTCGACATTTGCGACAATCAAATCTCTAACGATATACAAGTATAAAATTTTATCAGCAAGGTATAGATGACGCAAATCTTACAATTATTCATGCTCTTGCAATGCCGAAATTTGAGGTAAATCATGAGGTATAACAGAACTCATAAATTTCTTAATTACTTCTACGGAAATGAAGAAAATTTATTTAACGCTTAAACTTCTGTTTGTGCATGATTGTACACAAAAGTTCCAGTAATCTAGGACTATTGACACAAAATGTAAGTTCATTCTATAATATGTTCCATATGCCATGAGTTCTGCTTTATGGGATCACACTGTACTAAGTATGTAGCAAAGCTGTAATTTTATTGCCCGGCTTGATTTTTAGTTATATGCGCAGCCTGTCCTATGTAATGCTTAGCAATATGGCCGTCTCGCATACAAACATTTGATTATCCATCATCGAAAAGAGTTTACATTTTTAGTTCTATAATACATATTAATGAATGGGCATGCTACTAAGGGCTATACCCTTTTTTAAATATTTTTATATGTTTTATATTTTTACATTTGTTTTTTTTCATGTACGAACTTAAATATGAATGACGTATTGTTTTCTGTACTTCTTACCTGTACATATGACTCAAAGAAAAACAGTTCAGCTTGTGCTTTTTCTTCTATTTCTCGCACTGGTACTTGATTTTCGGACGAAAAACAAGGGGATTGATATTCGTCTGTGATTTGTCGCCGTTTTCGCCTAATTTCCTCATTTTCTATGCTTCGGCTGTTACGCTGTGTAGCACAAAGTGGCGAGTTGTTTCCACACAGAGATTCAACTTCATTTTGTGATGATGCATCTTCCGCTTTATTTTCTCGTCTCTTTCGTCCAGAACCATTTTGTAACGATTTTAATATTGTCTTGACTTGTGTAGTTGAATCAACTCGAGCACGACTCCTGTTTCTTCCAGATAACATAGAGAATGTAATGCCGAGAGAGCTGAAACGAATGAAATTTGAAGTATTTTGGTTTTGATTACTGATAACACGGAAAAGTCTATCATATATTGCACAAGTGATAAATGAATAGCAACGTGTTTCGTATGCGTGGCTTTATATATACCATACATGCAGGCAGGTTCCCATAGGGGTCTTATGTGGTTCACCATATAACATTTAACAGCGATGTTATCACTGACAGTGGTACTTCGTTGAGTTGGTTTGTATCATGCTGGAGTATTCATTCATCTTCGATGTGTTGGGTGTAATCATTGTCAACGTGTTTCTGTTATATGCCACCATACACAGTATCTCATATCTTACTTACAACTCATGGTTAACGATGTTTTTCTACTTTTAGTGATAATTTTACATGGCTTATTATAGTAACATCTCATCAATGCTTTATGCTTACTTACTGGCAATTATTTATACAAGTGTTGTATTCAAAAAACATAACTCCAATTCCTGTGGTAAGTCTTCCGTTTCTCTTTAGAAGGGCGATCGTGCTGTCTGCAGAACGGGATCTTCTCGTACCCAGAGCCCATAGTCTTGTGGCCTGATTCAATGTGTTTTCACAATGTTCTGAAATAAAATGAAGTATTTTTAATTCGGCACAAATCCTAATCACGTAATAAGTGTAAGCTCAAAGACTTTTTCAAAATTGTGGTTTATTTGAATACTTTTGAAAATATAAATTTACGGTATTCCCGTTGTTTACTAGAAGTTATATGTGCTGCTGTATTGATGATTTGAACGCACTCGTAAGGTATAATTTCCTTATTATTTTCCTTAGTTACCAAAACAGGAGATCTATAGTTAAAAGTTTTCAAGTTCTGTGGTTAAAAAGGTCAAAAGACATAAGGATAAAGAAATTTTATTACTATTATTCATGGTAATCCAAAATCAGGAACTATCATTTTATTCATTGCGACAATTCCAGCAAATTTACCGCAGAAGCTCAATGACTTGTAAAATTATTGTTTGCGTTATACTTTTCATGCCTTTATCACGTATCAATTGAAAATATCTTCAAGTTTGCAAATATTAAACAATAAGACAATAACTAATAGTTCTACTTCTAGACATTTAAGACAAGCCGTTAGGCCCCAAAATCTCCGATAATAGTTGAGGCCTGCACACAAGCAACTGGTAACCATACATAAAAAAAACTTGCGGATCTATAACGACGGCTTGATCAAGTGACCCTGCATCTAAACAGACAAATATACAGACAGACCGAACGACTGAGAATAACGGTCTCCTGACCTAGAGCGGATATTCAATTATAGAAGTTTAGAACACATGATTCTTACCTTCACACTGTCGTTCTTTAATCAATGCTCGTAGAACGTTAATTGAGTATGCGCTGTTGTTACCATTTCTATCTTCATCATCGTCTTCCTCTTTACTTCTCCCATCAGCCGGAGTTGAGTCAAGAAACTTATCACTCCGGACACTCATACTACCTCCGGAGCTAATAGAAAACATTGCATTTTCGTTTTTCTTAATTTCCTCGTTTTGTGAGTCACCGGACCTTGTAGTGTTATCTTCGTCTGGTATCGGTACTGTGGTGCCATTGTCGACAGAAAATAATCCGTCTTCTTGGCCGTTGTTGACAGTGAAAAAGCAACTAAGAATGAAAGAATGAAATTATAAAAGCATTATGTGGGGAAGTTTCCTGGCCCACGCTATCATACACCTCTACTAGAACTGTTGGAATAGAAATGGATATTATGGTCCCAATCGCCATTAGAATTTGGGGGTCTCCCGAAGTACGCGCCCACAAGTACTTCTAGTGGGCGTAGCATAATGATTTTTGCGTATAATATACCTCCCACCTGACTACGCCCTACGTCACAATCACGTCATAGAGCTAATCAAAGTATGGCTACGATTGTCCGAAATGGCATCTGTACCAACTCATGCTATGTAGACAGGCCAAAGTGAGCAGTGGTTTTCAGAACTTCTTTGGATCACGACAAACAATACGAAACGACATTCACGTGTGTATGCATTCATGAGCGTTTTATTCTGAATATACATAATAATCACTAACAGGGGAATAATGCATTTTTCAAAGCAAAAGTAGTTCAAATTCCAAGGTATATTATCTTAAATACATACCTGTTTTGTCGAAAAATATCATATGCTAGGTCAGGATTTTCCAGATAAAGTTTACATGAAAGACTTTTATCTGTTTCTTTCTTCTTTTTGCATTTCTCAACGTACTTCTTAGAATACTTGTATCTGTATCTTAAGGTTTGAATTTCGGAATCTAAAAATAGAATAACAAGATTAGTATTTGATAATAAATTGTGTACATTATATATTGAATCCGTTCATCATATATATTTAGACAAGATCGCTGGAACTTAATCCAATCAAAATCCAAGTTCTGTCGGCATATGCTTATGGTTAGGCTTATCCGTGGGACCTATTTTTCTGTCCCATAGCAATTTATGCCTGTTCCATCCCATCCCTCAGGATTCCCATTGGTATAAAATTCAATAAAAATTGTTAAATTTAGGTTTAGCGTCTACTAAATAGGAATACATGTACAAAGAGACATGCAAAACAACTAAATTTACTGACTTTGTTAAATTTAAACTCAGAACTATTATACATGAGTACATTTTTGATTTTTAAACTTTTGCGACTAGGCTATTTCCATAGGTTAAGAATATAACTCATACAACCACGTTCACGCTGACAAGGGACGATATTATCTTAACGATTCAGCATATAGTATTGGAAGTGAACTTGGTATCCATTTCAGAAATTAAAGATACAGCATTGAAACAGGTTTTTGGTGATATTTGTATGAGAAAGTTACATTATATTCTAAAATAAAACAAGGGCGTTTTCACTTTGTTGACTTTTGTTGTGAAAAATAAATGATAATATTATCCTCAGTCACGATATTTGTTCGGCATTTACAAATCACAAATTTGTCAAATATACGTTTTTCACTTTTTCGGCATTTTTGCGTTTTTTTTTTATTAATAATAAATAAAAGTTCAAATAGGCTTACCGATTGCGTTACATTTTCGTAATTGTACATCATCTCCTATGCAGTTGCCATGTGTTGGACAAACGCGACTCCGAACCTGGAATCCTGACATTATAGTGCTCGAACAAGTGCTCCAATCACTCCATCTGAAAAAAAAAAACGAGAGAGCAATTCTCAAATAAGTTGCCATGAAGATCATAATATGACTGAAATGGCCACTGCAATGTTTGCAAATTCTGAAAGTGGTGTACCGAATTTCATGAAGAATTATAATGAATGTCATGTGAAAGTGTGCTCGTTAATTATAAAAATTCGCTGTGAAACATCGGACCCGTAGGGTTCAAAGAAAATGAAGAAACAAGTCATAGCTCTTTAGTGTTCTTTTCCCTCTTTATGCGCTGAAATTTTGAAATCGATTGACCCATTACTTGCCGAAAAAGGGAATTTTTTCACCACGATTTTGCAATTTCCATGGTAAGGTTACACTTGGAATCCTATAAAGTGTTAACCAATCTTTGAAAATACGAGTATTAATCGAAAACTCAAATTATCTTCTTAGGAGTCACTCAAATGTTCTTAATATGTTAAATTTAGTCGTTTTCAATTACTAGGTTCAGTGCAATCACTCACTTCTGTCAAACAATTATTTGCACTTTTCACCTTTCTATTGAGTCAAATTGTGTGTTGTGACATCTGATTGGATACAAGATATTGGTGGTTTTATGACGATGTCGTTCGTAATTTACGTAACTTAGATTTGGTTTGTTCGCAGACGATTGTCTTGTCATTTGGTTTTTATTAAAGAAGGTGGTTTATTAGGAATGCAAAATAGATGTCAATTCCAAGAAAATGTTATAAATTCATAATATTTAACAAGAAAATAGCAGTTTACATTTTTATTCGTGTAATTTTGGTCTCCAATACGACAATTAAATACATTTTCTGTGAAATTTTAGACAAATGCCACCTTTTTATTGCGACCTACTCTAACCGCAGACAGTGTATTTTATGAAATATAAAGCTAGTTCTCGCGCATTTTTCCAGGATTCATGAAAGTTTGAACTGACAATGACCTTTTATTTCAGTCGCTAAATATGCACAAAGTATTAACGCAGCAAAAATAAATTCGCAATTATACATCAGAAAACTTGCTATACTTCTTCATTCATTTACTTCACGAGGTTCGTAAACTTGTTCTCTCAAATTACGGAGTATCTTACATCCAATACTTGACTAACCGGGCCAAATAGAGCATTAACCATCCTTGACGGCGTACTTATATTTACGATATATGAAAGGTGGTCGCTCGGTTAGATATCATATGAAATGTATGCCTCCAAGATTTATTTCAACATTTGATATAATTTATAATCAGGTATGCCACTTCGCGACTATCAAATTAAAAATACTGGAAATGGTGTTTTTCGTCCAGTTGTTACAGTACAGAAGGAATATCTATAATATTTGCAATAGGAACAGAATTCCTTATTACCGACCTAATAACACACTAACATTTCTTACCAAAAGTAGGTTGAAAAGTCGTATATTGAATATCAAACATGCCAAAAATACTGCTCAAAATAATTTGTTCTTACTTGCTCCATTTTGGTTCTTGTCCTCCGTTACCATTTTCCTCTAATATTCTTTCTTCCGGAGCTGGATTATCTTGTTCGGGTTCAGTAGACAACGGATAATTGTCAGTGGCTGGTCCGGTTTGAAATGTCGGTTGAGGCGATAAAAGAGCTTCTAGAAAACGAGATAAAAGTTTATAATTTATATTAAATGTATGTTGTTAAAATATGGCATGGATTTCTCTCTTACTTCCTGTAGGATTGCCAACTTGATTTGTTTCTCAAGTTAACGATTCCAGGAACAAAACTGAACATAGCTTCATTTTGGCAATTTCTACCCTTAATTGATTAACTCTTTAAACATTGACAGCCTTTGCGTATGTTTTTTTGTTTATCAAATTTTCATACATGCAACAAATACGGGCGGATGGAACAATGACAGTTTCGATTAATATTTGCTATCTATACAAACTGTACATTGAAGTCGTGTTGCGTAGTTTCGAGTGGAAAGCTTTGAATTTTAGTTTTGAACTTTTGCATTCAGCGTTATCTTATTCTATATCTTGTCGTATGGGTTATTTCTAGTCGAATAAGATGAACATCAGTACATCCCGGCGTATTTATATTATAGGTTACCAATGAGTCGTGACAGTGCTCCTTGTCGCGAATGTATGTATAAATATATATTAATGAGCTTCCAATGAGCTATTTTTTGAATGTTAAACAGTCTTCCACGGATTATCATGTTTTGAGAAACCTCCTAAACACGGATTTAAAGTTTCAGTTTGTTTGTGTAGACGGCAAGTTACAACGGAAAGTTTATTGTTTGCATATTATTTCTTTAGATTTAATTTATTATCGTTTATGGTAATGACATTTCAGGTTTAACGGAATCAAAATCAGTATTTTGTGTACCGTGCAGATCTCCCATACCAATCTTTTAAAATCAATTTATCAAAATTTTGCAATGGGAGCACTGAGTTTAGTCCGCGTGTACGTTTATAAATTTGTAATTTTGAATAACGCGAATTTCTTGCCAGTAAGATTCATATAATACTATTGCTATTATGAGATTATAGCGTACTCATATTACTAATAGTAATTTAATATATGCGTGCGATTCTCTGATTTAATTATATTTTGTTTCCGCTCTAGAGCAGCTTTCTATGAATCTCTTTTAAAAATTTGCGATAGTTTTTCATGTTTTTTTGCATTCCTAGCCGGTCAGTTTCGTTTCCTATTCAGAATTAAAAGAAAAGACATTAACTTTCATCAGAAAAATTCTATTATTGTCAGTTATTATGAGATTAGGGCATATATTTTATATTCTTTTACAAATATTTATAATTATTTCGCGTGCCGTTCTGTCCAATTATATTTTTAATACCATTTTTAAAATTTTTGTGCATAAATTAATCACGAACTTTTTCGCGCGTATAATACTGATAAACAACAAAATAATTATATTCTTTCCGAATCGCACGGATCACAGATGTACCATGCTTGACCGTATGTAATATATGATTTTTGCTAATTAACAATATTTAAACACATTGAATTTCATTCCCGTTGATTCTCGCGTAATGGTAGTTTTACCATATTTGAGAAATTAATCGTGCATGTAATGGTGGTATATAATAATACATAACCTGAAATTAACCGCCGTTGCTCATTTTTAATATTCAAGAAGTCATACTCTTAAAAAATACTGACAATCTGCTGGAAACTCATAGCATTTGAAAATTTTGTTTTTCGAAAAACTTCGTTTCGGAGGATTGGTCGCTCGAATGTTTTGCAACATCGTATAGCTACATGGTTACATTAGTTTTTTGTATTCCAGTGGTCGCCCATAATCTTTCTTGAGGATGAGTCCACTATTCTGAGTGAATGCTCGTGACATCGCTTTGAATTAATTTTAATGAAGAAATATTTTATATATCAAAAACAATCGCGTGCTGGTAAGCGTTTTGCACTTTTCTTCTATGCAACCTGAATGAAAGCGCCAAAAAAAGTGGGTAATTATAACAAATAAAAATGAGCATATAAAACGGATTTCACGGTGCGTTCTTGAAGCGTTGAACAGTAACAAAAGATGACTGTATAAAAGTAAATCCGAATACAGAATTATACAGTATAATATTGCGACACGAATATTTGGAACAGCTAATTAATTGTTAACTTGATACATATAACTATAAAATAGATATATTGTCGGATTCAAAATTTCAAACCACCCAAAGTGTTAAAAAATGGACAGATCATGTCTGACCGGGAAGAATCCGCGATTAAAAGTATGACTTCTTGAATATTTAAAATATGCAACGGCGGTTAATTTCAGGTTATATATTATTATATACCACCATTACATGCAGGATTTATTTCTCAGTTATGGTAAAACTACCATTAGGCGACAATCAACGAGAATGAAATTCAATGTGTTTAAATATTGTTGATTAACAAAAATCATATATTACATACGGTCAAGCATGGTACATCTGTGATTCGTGCGATTTGGAAAGAATATAATTATTTTTTTGTTTATCAGTATTACACGCGCGAAAAAGTTCGTGATTAATTTATGCACTAACATTTTAAAAATGGTATTAAAAATATAAATATAAAACGTATAAAATAAATAATGAAAAAAAAACAGAAAATTTCTAGTCATCTAGATTACACTGTTACTAAAAAAAAAATTACTCTGGAAACAGATCTGTTAAAAAGTCGTTATATCTCTGGCAGCGCTTTGATGTTAAAATAACTTAATTGTCATGATTAAAATCTGGAATTGATTCAGTCATACTACGAAATTTTTGAAAATATTGGTAACGCATTTAATTTTTTTTTGTTGTATCGGACAAGAAATAATATTTTTTTTATTAATATTTTGATTTTGAACTGAGTGAACTTTAAATATAGTTTCAGTTTCTGTACGTGCGGATTTACAAAGTCATTTGATCTTGGGAAACTTATTTATTCTTACTATTCCTATTTATTTTTTCAGCGAAAATGCATGTATTTCATGGAATTATTATACATGATTGTCTGGGTAATTTTTTCAATACACATAACAAATTTTTCGTATGCTTTATCAGGCAAAAATTGGTTACTTGGACCAATGACTGCAAGGTATCTACATTTGGAATCAGTAAACAAAAATCTTCAAAGTATGATTTTGAGTCCGATTTTTTAGAACAAATCACAGCGTTGCCCAATGTGCTGTACGATGTTTAATTCATTTAATTTAATTCATATTATTCTGATTTTCGTGAGTATGATCGGGATAATTCTGTCTGTGTTCGCCCATGAAATCCATGATTTGAGTCTCAGTTGAGCTAGATTGAACGCCATTTCAACTCAGATGTCACAAAAAATGTGAGGGGTCTTGCAAAATCAAATAGTGAATGTTTCCCCGAGCATTGACTTGTTCATTTCAGCAGCAATGACCAATTCGCAACAAGTTAACGATGATATAACGAAAACTTGTGCCTTTGCTCTGACAGATTTTTGGGCATGATTTTGACAACTCTCGTTTCCGTTTTTTTGTGTACTTTTTTCAGTGATTAATTGCGTTTCCAAAATTTAGGTATAAATTAATTAATTCATTTTGTATTTTGAGAATTTTTTTGTTTAGCTGCAATTTGGTCAAAAAGTTAGAATGCCATATAAAAGTTTTATTATTTACCTAGTGCTGATAGATCCTGTGCTTTTCCGCTCTTGTACAGACTTGATATAATAAAAATATACAATCCTGCTTTTACGAAAATAAAGTCTCCCATCTTTTCCAACAAACGTCTGATTTTAAATATCTATTATCTGTAAAAAGCGCATAAAACGTTATTACTTTGCGGTTAAGCTGTTGAAAACAAAATTGTAAATTAATGGAATTTTACACACTTCAAAACACGTAACTACGCTGGACTCCTTCGCCTGTGACTTTTTTCAGCTGGTCCATCTTTGTGCGTATGTAATGCACATACATATCAGGAATAAAGATGACTATTCGATGTAATTCAAGTCTGACTGCACACGTGTGTGTGCAAAAAATATTTGAATCACATACCACAAAAACGCGACTGTTGTTGGGACCACCACTTGCTTGTATCCCAACATACTTATTAAAAAAAAAAAACGAAATCCCGTAGAGTGTGTACCAGGTTGGGGTTAGGCCATAATTTTTTTCCGATTTTCCTTATTTTAGTTCTATTATGACTCCGGGGACTGTCTGTGTTAGCCAATTGAATATACCCCCCTGTCAATAGGTTTCAGTCCCTTTACACAACTTGATGTAAAGTAGGCGAACAAAATTAGTTACCTCCATATTGGTACGCACAGTTCTGGAGCGCCGAGGAAAAAATCTAAATAACACAGCTAATATATTTTATGCCAAAAATAACTAAATAAGGCATAACACACACATGAAAACATTCATTTTTTTGACCGAGTTGTTTGATTGGATTTTGTAAAATAATAAACACACAAAACTAATCATCGATCTTCTATATCATTTTAATTATTTAACCCCTTTAAATCTACACTGGCTTTTTTTTTTTTTGAGATGTCGTACCAGGGAGACGATAAAATATGACCCCATAATGTACTTTCAATTTCCACTGAATATCACGGTTAGTTACCGCAAATCACCGCGACATCCAACCTTTTTCTGTTGTCAGTCTAGTATTATTGATTGTCGTTCATCCAACATTTTCGTTTCTCTGCACTAAAATATATAACTTCTAAATCCAGCTTACCTCTTATATATACACTTGGTCGCAAGTTTATATGATAAAGCCATTAAATAACTAATTACGCGAAACCTAGCTTCTCACACCTGCTTATTTCGCTTAATATCTTGTCGCGCTATGGTCATGTCGTGCGAGGTATCTTTCTCGTTGAAGTTGTGTAACATATACCACGAGAATTACTATTTATTTCCATATTTAATTACATTTTCCACCACTGTTTTTTTTTATTCTGAAAAAATAAACGTAATTTTTTTCCGCACTGTTTAAAATTTAGTTTATTTTACTATCTTTTAAAGTAATTCAACTGGTCAAAATATTGATTTGTGGGAATATGTCTGTCTGCACTAAACTTGTCCTTGATGATTAACTTTAAAATAATTTGATTTCATTTTGCGCATTGATTCTATTACCTATTTGCCGAGCAAACTTTTCTTGGTAATTACATTTTAATTTGTTATTTTGACGATATTTTGTATAAATGTCACGTGAAATGAAATATTTATCGTTTTTTTTACGCTCTAAACTTAAAAATTTATTGATGTTATCTTTTTTTCGTGAAATTCACCCTTCGTAATAATAATCGTAATAATATTTTTGAGTTATTTACTCGATTTTTTCGGATTTTTACCAAACAAATATAAAAAACATGCGACCGAAAAAAATCATAATCTAACTGATCTAAAATGCAAATTATAATGTGTTACCTTAAATTCCATTTGGATTTTAACGGCATTTCTAATTTGGTATTTTCTTGATTATTTACGCTTTTAGTTTAAAAGTTGTTGATGCTATCTTTTTTCGTAGAATTCGACTTTAGTAACAATAATATGATTAATATTTTATCAGTTATTTACACGATTTTCCGTATATACTAAAAAAGTTTACAATAAAATAAATCTTAAATGCAAATTATTTTGTGTTATTTTTTATTTTGATTTGGATCTCAACGGCATTACTGTTTTGGTATGGTTTAACACAAATGAAACCAAAATCCAAGTTATATGCCGAAGGGGCCGTCGATACCATTTTTTACTTTCTAAATATGTACTAAAAAAGGATGTTGCAATTATGTAATATTGAACAAGTTTTTAGTTGGGAATTAATGAAAGAAGATGAATGAACATTGTTATGACCGATTTTCTGGATTGATATTCAAATGCCAATTGCTTGATAAAATGATTTTTAAATTAAAAATATTCCATTAACAATCCATATGAACAATTTTAAGCGATCGACAATGCTAATATCAGTATATCGAATCGGAATGACAATTACCTTTTAGAAAGAGGTACTGTCGTGTATCAATATAAGCAACATAGCTCAACAATCACAAAAGACAATTTTGACACCACACTAGCGAAAGAATTTATTGTTTACATCACAACGTGATATGAAAATCAGTCGTTCAGTTACACATCAGGGGACGCTTTCACATGGCCTCGTTCCGAGCGTGTTTTATTCGTGATTCACTTCTCTATAGTAAAAAAATGCAGTTGTTTGGCGTCACACATTTTGTTTAGCTTCCTTTAAAATCAAATGGCGATTGGGAAAATAAGCGATGCTCAAATAAATAGACATGAAGGCCAAAACGAAGTAATACCGGTACGAGTATGCAATCTCTCATAGTAGACTACCGGTACCTTCCTCTTCACGACTAACGCGAACGCGGAACCGCCACAAGGTGCGCAATTTTCGATGACGTCATCGCACACAAAAAACGAATTCAATAGAGCCCACAGAAATTTTTGAAATAAATAAAAGTTTTCTAGCGAAAAATACTATCTATAATTAACCACTGAATATTTCAAAGCAATTGGCTCAGTAGTTGATGAGAAAAGCGATTTTTCCATAACAATACGAATAAAGATACCAACAAGAACAACAACAAGAACATAATACCAAAACGAACCATATGTACATTTCATGTCCAATAATATAGCAAAAGCTGTAGTCATTGCCTCCACCGTGGGAAACTAGAAATGTCAAAGCAAGATCATTCTTAATCAACGTCATATGTTGATTAATGGGAACGTCGGATTGGGTTTTGATGGACACTATGTATTGATTATGTCTTATTTATCACTGGCCCGCTCTTTCCTCACCTTATACTCAACAATACTAGCCATTGTTCTATACCAACTTGTTCCACATGGGACATGGGTGCTAATTAAGAAATTTTATTTCATTTCTTGACGCAATTGCGACATTTAATATTTTAAAAACACGAATCACTTTAGGAGAAAATACCAACATTTTTTAAACATTTATAACAAGTGGTCACTAATTAATAGACAATAATCATAAAACGTGGGAAAATTTCATATATTAAGTTTATTATAAAAAAACTATGTAAATGCTGTAACATTTCATGCGGGAATGGAACATTTTTCACTTTTAATTCGTTCTCTATAAAATAGTGGTACAAACAAAGTAGCACATTGCAACAATAATATAATTCACACTAAATGAATAGGTATTCTCCTTTTATTGCTTTACAATTCATTTTTGAGAATGGTTGGCCTTTGGCAATATAATCTAACGTATCCTAATCTATCCTAGGATCAAAGAAACGAATCGGGAAATAAATAGTGGGACAATCATGTGATAGCGGTAGCCTACTCTTTGGTCAAGGAAGGAGTAAATGAATAGGAGTAAATGAATAGATAACTGCGCATTTGTTGAGTTAGGGTCTCCAATGGACATTTTCAATATGTATCCCAAGTGATTCAAGATTCTGGCTGCACACTAACATAAATAGAACGATAGTCCAATATTTATTTTGCGAATTTCAAATTGTTACTGGTTTTATCAAATTTAGTATTTCAACTATACCCTTTACAATTTTACATGGCGCTTTTTCACACTTTTTTCTCAGCATAAGGTCCTATATAAGTCGAAACTGATGTTTCAAGATCAACTGTTCATGAAATGACCATAATCTTTTCGTTTCAGCATTGTCTAACCAATCTATGAAAATGGGATTTTGCCCCTGATCATATACTAGTCGTTTTTGCAGTTTATTTTTCATTTTGAATATGATTTATGTCAGTCATATAACGCAAAATTTATAACGCCATTCTACTATCCTTAATCTATTTCCATCTTTATTTCGAGCTCAATCTTAATCTTAGATCTGAACTATCTTCAGTTTCTTGTAAATTTCGAGCCATGATTGTTTGTCTGTTATAGTTTGATAGATTGCGAACATAATTACATCATATATATATATATATAAGATTAATTTGTTAAATTAAGCAATATTCCAATATTTACTAATTACTTTCTATAATATAATTAATTTAGACATTGATTGATTTTTAAGAAAATGGCGAAAAGCCAAAATGGGTGGAACTGAGTTCAATTCAATTTCAACCAATCATATTAAAACTTACATTTCTACTTGATCGTGATTTTCTCAATGCTATACGAGTCGATGTATTATTGCATCATAAAGGCACAATACAACTATGGAGATTTTTGTAAAAAGACGTAAAATTTATTGCGATTACTAGCTCTCGTGTACTTCGGTACTCGTTTCTGGGCCAAGTACGTGTCATCATTCGTCTTCACTAGCTTATATGTTAATATTAATTAACTCTTGCTTTTGATTTTATATATGAAAACATATCATGACTTGGTTATAAAAAATACTTATTTTTATCATGAACAACATTTCCTCTTTCTGCTTTTGGTTTCTGTCATGAAGAGGATGCAATTACTTCAAAGTTACGTCACAAAGCTCTTTTTTTCGATGTTTTCGTTCCGAACCAATGTTTGTTTCAATCGTTATTGTATTGGTTGTTTACTAATTAACATATCTAATAAACAGAAATGCTGATAGCGAAATATATGACATAGTTGCATTTTAAAATGTAAAATATTCACTAAATCGGAATTTTAATTCTGCTGTGCCAACATGGTCCAGTACAGCACTGTAACCACAAAGCTGTTTTTCCCAGCTTTAAATTTGCTATTACTAAACGTTGGTGTCCTTTCATGGGATGGGAGGTGTATACAATACCCTGGCTTCGGATATCGTGATTTTATGGGTCTGCTTCATCTAATTCATATTTTTTGCAAATTCGAAATATTCCAACTTGACCGAAAACGAAATTTCAAATATTTGGAAACCTCGACGACGTTTCCCGAGGGAAATTTTAGTGTGAGCCAGTGGATATCAACAATCATTGTGTTCAGCTAATTTATTTCGTGACCCATAATAATAACCCAAATAAATTTGAATGAATTCTCTTCACTTTAGTTCGTCTGCATGTTACTACAATCATAAATTGTACTTGCATATCATAATGAAAATGGCCGGTGCGCATTACAAGCAAGACATACAACTCGACGTAGTTCGGTAAACCATGAATGCAGATTATGCCGATAATAAACAATACGTGTCAATGCTTATCAAACTAAACATCACTATGTTACAGTGTAGCAAGACAATCCAAATGTATCTCTTTGTTTTAGTTATGGGCTGTGTTGGCATTATCCCAATAATTTGTTATTACTATAGATATTCTAGAATAACATTTTGTAATCAATTTCAATTGATATTAATCGAAGAGGATATAGCTCTAAATTCCTGATATAGGTCAATTTATTTCAAGAAACTTTGGCACAGAGAATTTCCCTTCCCCCCACAATAAAAAAGTTGAAAACTAATTTTGATTATCAGTATTAGGAAAAAATTTGGACCTTTGTTTACAGCGGATTTTTTACATATCTCCAGTTGAAATAATAAATACAACATAAAAACCAAATTAAATAGTAAAACACTGTCGTGCAAACTACCGATGTCATTACGTAATATGAACAGATAACAGTATTGGTTTTCCGATAATTATTGGTTATTAAAATTAACATACTTTCTTGTTTATAATTAACACATCGAATTAAGTGGCCAATCTAGGATACACAACAACTAATTACCCATGTTCAATTTAATAATTAATTAATTAGACCACAATCACCTAAAAACATGTAATCAAAATAAATTTGCAAAATTGTATCATCTTGCACAGCCGGTACCAGCACACTTTGTTGAGTTGTTGTTGTTTTTCATATTATAGAGTAATTTACGAATCAAATTAATTGTCTTATTTGGAAAGAACAACAAATCTCTCACATCTAACTTAACTTCAACTAACTTAAAAACGAAAAGCAATTTTTGACTATTGATTCACACTAATGCAACATGTTTTACCTACGACCTCGTCGTATTTTCTTCTTTTACTCATCAATTATAATTTCTCACTGAAGAAAACTAAAAATGAATTTAACAAACTCATGATCATTCTTCACACTTTCTTGACTCAAACTGACTCAATATTTTCTAATGGGGAACTTTTATCTCGAAACATGATTAATCTTTAAAATAGACTACATACGCTGCCAAACATGATTATTATTCATACCAAGTCCATACATCCGAAACAATTAACTGGTTAACTATTCCCATACCCGACATGAACTGGTAATCATATACAAATGACCGTGGTACGCCGTATGATTAGGCCCTCTTATTGGATTTCCTCTCACAGGGATAACCCTATTCCGAAAATTCTGAAAAAATGGATTGTCCCAGTTTTTGCGCTGGCTTTGAAGATCCAAATGAATATTTTTTCGATTTCAAGTCTGATTCTGTGTCGAAAAACATTGGCTCCACTTATAGCTCCGTTCTAGACTTCAATCGGTACTCCCGTAGTGTGTGTACCAGGTTAGGCCATAAATTGATTCCGATTTTTCTTATTTTAGTTCCATTACAAGTTCCGGGACTGTCTGCATGTGTTAGCCAAGTGAATATACCTCCTGCCCATAGGTTGCAGTCCCTTTACACAACTTGATGTAAAGTAGGCGAACAAAATTAGTTACCTCCATATCGGTACACACACTTCTGGGCTACCCTTTTATCTATGAGTAAAGAGTTAATAGCAAGTCGTTAAATTATTTTTCCAACAGATTTCCTAATTCCTCTTATGACTATTTTTAATCCGTGGCTTTTTTCTGTCGCGTATGATCTTATCTTGATATTCGTGAGACTCGCCTAGTCAAAACAATACCTGCCACTGTGCGAAAATATATATTGACAAATAACAATCACCAAAACATTCTATGAAACTCGATGACTTCGTTATTTTGTGACACTATTTTCAATTTACACCATAGTGTGAAAATCAAAGTATATTTTACTTGAATTTGGTTGTAATTTAACGTTGTTGCCCATGATTATGCTATGTGGGATGCCATATAAACTCGCTTGTACGAGGATTTTTCGCAATAATCTAGTTCAAATTTGCCGATTTGTGTTATAATCTTGTTTGTTGAAAACTTTTGTAAATCTTAAAAACAACGATGAAAGCTGTTTATGACGATTTATTGCGGCATATTTTATTTTTGTGTCGTTGTTTGTTTAGTGTTACTGTTTTGCCTATAAAAACTGCTTATTCATCGCGGAACTACAACGCTTTTTTTTTCTAAAAATAGTAGATTATTACTTATAAATTGATGCTTAGAGCCTTTTCGGAGTGGAAGCGCGAACACGCCATGTAAAATGAGAGAAAATATATATATTACGTCACTCGTGGGCGCTTTATTGAAGATGCAAGATTTGTATCATGTCTGACTATTATTTAACACGTTGCAAATGATCTTCTTCTACTGTGACTTTTTTAATTCAAAAAATATTAAAAAAATAGCGTTGTTAGTTCATTCGATGCACGAAACAATTGTATTGCCATTGTGAAAAACCACAATAGCATGTGTATATTGAACTTTTATTTATTTTTTAAATCTGTTACGTTTTCTGGAATCGGTAGTTGACATACGTCTTGATTTTAAATTAAGTCATTTTAAATATGTTTCGCGTAAAATGATTATTCAATAACGTACATACTGTGCACATATTTCGTGAATTTCATCATTAGAGACATCCAAAATTTTGTCCAAGCCAAATTTTATATTGAACTTGTCGTATATGCCAGAAAAACTGCTTTGAAAAAATGGCAAATTTTGGCAGCACGTTTCGGACGTGAATTGCATCTGCTTTTCTCATTAACTACTGGATTAATTGCTTCAAAATTTTCACGTTTTTCACTTCGAAATTTTGCGTGATGACCTCTTGAAATTTAATACGAATTATTTGTAGCGGCTCTTCGATCTTGCTACGCAAAAGTTGGAAGATTTTTGGGAATTATGTTTAATATTTCACTTTGCAGTTCATTTGTGGTTAGCTGCTTGGTTGTGGATTATCCGTGAGCGATAGTGCGAAATCGATCACTGATAAACGAGAAAAAGTATTTTCGCAGATTTAGGGATTAGAATTTTTAATCCGATAATCTTGTGTCATTTGAATTGTTTTTGAAAGTTGAAATAGAAAGTGTTTTTCAGCAGAACCTATTGTTTTTCAAATTTGTAGTAACCGCATGTGACTAGTGGATGGCAAAAACATCGTCCCAAAATTTTTATATCTCTAAGATCTTCAGAATCCCGAGTACACCTATTATAAAATATTTGTATAATTTTTTTTTTTACTATTAGTTATAGAAAATTTTTTAATTCCTTCTCTATAATCGAAATCCTTTTCTCCTGTTACATCGAATAAATTTTATGTCGTTCGAATCATTAGTTATTGGCAACTTATTGGCGGGCACACTTTTTTCTAGACCGAATCCGGAAACTCATGAAAGACTCAAAATTAGCCTTACTACAGTAATAATTATATGAAATAGATTTTTTACAATACCTGCAAATTCTTACAAATGTGCAATTTTTAAAGTTTTTTGTCAACTTCTTATTTTTAGCGTCTTCTGGTCGTTGTGCTGATGCTTCTCTCACCCAACCACTGTTCGGATATGATTCTGTATCTGGATGTACGCTTGTATTCAGCTATCAAAACTGTACTCAACTTCGTGCATTGGTTGAAGCTGAGCAGCTCAAATTATTATCAGCAAATCGGGTATCTCGATTTGGAAATCCGAGTAACACCGCATCATCTGTGGATTGGATCGCAGTTATAAAGTGAGTATCATGTTTTTTATGTACATTGCTCATGTATATGTATTAATGTTAATGCATTTGTATAACTCATAATATTTCCGATAAAATTTTAGTTTTTCAAATTATATTTAAAAACTATTCATTGTTTTTCAATTTTTTTTTCGAGAATTAGGAAAATTGTTTTGTTCTTTGCAAATCACTTTAAAATAGATATTGTGTCGTCTATTTCTTTATAGCGTTGTACGTCACCTTCGCTCCGCGCGAGGGTTTGGCAAGCAACCTGATTCGAACCAAAGTGCCAATTTGAAGCATCGCAGTCAGTTCGTCCATTACCCATTTATACCACTTATTAACATAGTATAGTGGATGGGTGTTGGTTTTAACCCCGCAATCCATAACCAGCGAGAACAACTGGGTTTCGTTCTACGCACTGTTTATCAGGTTTCAATTTTAAAATATTTTCTGTCTTGGTATGTTGGATTACATATCATACTGATTTTTAACGTCAGTAAATCTGTCGACTGCATTTATACGCAAGTTTCTGGTCTTACTGTGATAAAATGGGAAATTTATATTCTCATACATTAACTACAAACTTCCTCTTCTATTCGCCGTTCTTCAGTAATATCACCGATTTCGTTGAAGAGAATGTCACTGCAGGGCAATGCCAAGGAATCCCGAGTCACGTGGTATTAGAAATTTTATGGGCTAAAACAGGAGAAGGAAATAATGTTGATATACGAGAAATTGTTGGTGCAAGAGTAGAGTGAGTGTTGCCAGTTTTTCTTTTGTTTTATTATGTTCAAAAACATTGAGTGCGGAATCACAATATCAATAAAATTACTCGTGTTTGACCTGGCGCTATATAAACCTGAAAATGTTGGTTATTTTGCGCTACAATACCCGTTTTTAACTGCAAAAATATTAGAAAAACTTCAACAGTAACGACGGTGATTGGGATCTTCTAACCAAAATATACTTTCTGCTGTATTAAATTTGTGCCTAATTCTAATAACATTTATTATCTATTTTATTTTAATATACTAGCTACTAGAATATCATTAAAATGGTATTATGTCGGGTCGGTAACTAATGCTTCATGTGTATCGAGCGATTTTTCCGAGTTTATTTTTTATTAACTTCAAAAAAAATGAACTGACTATTTTTATTTTTAAAACTTCAAGAAAGCGGTTTTTCCGAGTATATTTTGTAGTAACCTCAAAAAAATGAATTGACTATTTTTATTTTTAAAACTTCAATAAAGCGATTTTTCCGAGTATATTTTTTATTAACTACAAAAAAATGAACTCACTATTTTTATTTTTAAAACTTCAATAAAGCGATTTTTCCGAGTATATTTTGTAGTAACCCCAAAAAATGAATTGAAACTGTTCATATTTTTAAAATCTTCATTGGAACCATATTCAAGTTATCTGTATTCTGTAATTGAAAAAGAGAAGTGCTTGTGATAGAATGATTGATTAGCGTTTTTTTCAATATCGGTAAAGTATTAGCTTTTATCATTAAACTTTTTATGAACATAATCTCGTATGAATCGAAAATGCGGCTTGCCTATGTGTCACCGACTTTAAAGAAATAAAGTCCTAAGGAATAAATTTATTTAATCTAAAGTTCATTATTTTTGATGTACAATAATTTCCTTACCGTAATGTGTTTTGTAAAGATTATATATAACTATTAAATCGCTATTATGTCGCTTTTTAAGCCGAGATTGGTTAAACTAAACGAGCATTGTTATTCGTTAGCAACAATCTCTCAACTTGTTAAATTTGTTCAGCTTGGTTCGTGAAACGTGGGAAATTCGTTGCGTAGAAGGCGAAACAAATTGTGAGTTTTACACATATTCAATATATAGCACTGTCACATTCACAGAAGTTCCACCGCAGGCTACAACTCCACTGACTCTGTGAGTACTATCTCTCATTAGATATTTATGATATTTGGTGTTCAGCGTTGTTTTGTTTGCAGTTATCATTTCCTGGCGTTTTAAGTGTTAAAGTAATGTTTACGGCTTTGTGTAGGGTTGCAACAGTTTGGAAAATATTATTGAAAGTTCTCCAAAATTGTTTCAAGGTTATGTAAAAGAGCGTTACTAGGTTAATTCAAATAATCCTGTTACTGTTTTAACATATACTTCATTCTTTGAAAAAATTGAACCGGATATTGCAAGTAGAAATTAATTTTACTAGAACATTTTGCAACAAGGATTTGGATATGGACATTTATAGCGTTAGTTTACTTGTTTTTTCCACATTCCTGATTCTTGATGATTTTGGAATTGTTTTTTCTTGGGAACTTTTATAATAATTAATATGTTACCATTTTTGCTGTAAATTAATCTATTTAATATAATAAAAAATGGGTTTTTACTTTGAAGTAGCATCATTCTAACTAAAATGTCTAATTATGTGCATAGGCACAGGAGCATAGAACCTTCCAATGATATTTAAATTCTTTATTGTATTAAATCGCTCACACAGGTACGAGATCAACAGAAATGACACTTGCAAACGAGATGCGACATGTTGGCCTGAATTACTTCTACCCATTCAACCTGAATTTTTCTATCTGTATGATCTCACAACGGCAGACACTTTGAGATCATATAACTATGGTTGGGCTTTACTTGTGACATTCTTTTCAGTTGGTGAGTTGAATTCAATTGTTGAAATTACTGTTTTACTTCTGCTTGAAATGCAACTTATTTGAATACATTTGTGTTCTGGTATGGAATTGAACAGCATTACCTTTGACATTGTTAAAAGAGTCGCAAAATTGCCCATGTTTTGTATTGTCCCTTGTTGGTATTTTAACCACAACGATCGCTCGATTCGGCAAAGTGGGCACAAAACTATCTAGTTACATATCGTATCATTTATTAAGTATGTATTACTCCATGCCTGTCGCTTACAATCAAGGAAGAAGCCAAATTTAGATGTGTTGCAGAAATTCGATTTTTTGTTATACTTTTTTCTTTCCGTTTGAAAGCTATCTCCATTGTATTTGTCATAAATAATTGTCAAGCAACTGAGTAATGAACGCATACATTTCGTATATCCGTTTGAGATATTATAAATCTACTGTAATGTACTTCCATTCATCGTCTATGTAAAATCACATTTTGCCATTCTCACGCTTTCTCTATTCTACATTACTTTGTATTACTCAAATTTAAATTTCAGCTGCAGCGGTAGTACCAGCTCATTGGAGTTCTGTCGGTCGATATTTGAAGCAAGTTTTACCACTGTGAATCAAGAATTTCATATAGTTATTGTGGTACATGGTGTAAACACATGCTGCAAGCCTCGATTGGATAGGGTGCAAGTCTTAAAATCATTCCACTGTTTTTTTTTGTATATTTTTTTCTATATTGATAGCTTTTGTACCTACCAGTTATTCATGAAATATCTCTTATTTTTATAAGCAAAAAGCGATATCATCACATGGAACTTGGCTAAATGAAAACAGCAGCCCATCGTTAGACATAACCATATGTTTAGTTTTGAATATATATCATGCATTTGTTTAATAAAATATTTATTTTGCAACCGATTTATGTGATAAGTACTTTAAAGCGCAGTAAGAATCCAGCAAACTAATGACAAAAATTAAGAATAGAAATAATTTGTTACGATATTTTGAGAAACTACTTCAGACCAACAGATGATTTGATTGTGAGATTGCCAGATTACATAAAATCATCCGGGTAGAGTTACTCATCAATTAAAATGTTATAAATATGTTTTTGAATTCAACAATCACAACCAACTTTCGCGTGTGAAACGCTCGGTGATACGAGATAAATTTCAGATCAGGATTGGAATTTGTCAGATATATGTCTATCTTGTTCTGTTGAATGCGAAAAACCATTCCGGTTTCATATTCAACAGTTCGCTGAAATCCATGGTTCCATAAATATCCGGTTAGAAATTGATTTGCTTGTAATAGAAATGGACTTAACCATCACCATCTTCTTTTTCCATTATATCTTCAACCCAGTGTATCATCTCTGTCATTCTTGTATATACTCCTGGTTTGTATGCAACTCCACAACCATTTCCCCAGCTTACTATTCCAGCAACAAACCATTTCCCACCTCTCTCTTGGCAAACTAACGGACCGCCACTATCGCCCTGTAACAATTATTTAATATTTTAATCGAGAAACGTTGTAGATCAGGAAACAAAACTCTGTAGCGCAGATGTATAATGTCGGTCTTTGGTGCTGAAAGTTAATAACTGAAACTTAACACTTTGTTAGAGAAATTGAATTCATTTTAACATTTCATAATCTTTAAACTGAGTACTCAAACACGATCGAAGTAACTTCACTTTCTAAGTTTTGCGTATATACAATAAATTTTAAACAATACATTATTATTTATAATGGGTAAATTCAATAATTTAGGCCTAGAATTAGTGCGGGGCCCACTGCGACCACAATGGCAGTTTGTATATCAAAATAGCTTCATATCTTGTATTAAGATGTGTTCACTGCTTTAAAAGTTTACCTGACATGAGTCTACACTTCCATTTGAATCTCCGGCACAAATCATTCGTGGAGTTATTTTTCCTGCATACCATCTTGGTCTGTTACATTGGTCGTTTGTCATCAATTCTACCCGGGCTTCCTGCAGTGTTTCAGATCTCCTACCTACGAGAAAATAAATATAGTACCGTTCACGTACGTATAAGTATTTACGATGATAAAATTTGGTCTTCTGGAGTATAGACTCCACTGTTTCATTCGTACGACGGCTAAACAAACAATCTATGCAAAACTAACCGCGTACAGATGTAGTTCCCCATCCAGTTATCCAGCAGCTCTGACCTTCGTGAAAAATATGACTAGATGGCGGCAGACATATTTTTCTTGTTCTGTCACTCAAAGTAGCGTTTCCGTCTATTTTTATTAAAGCAATGTCAAAATCGTAGGTCTGAAGAAATAAAAATAACGTACTCAAAAACGTTTTCATTTCTTTTCGAAAAAGTGTTGAGATGCTATTTTATCCTGGGTATCAAGCATATACCATACCTATTATTGTTATCACCATACGAATTACTTACATAGGGATATGACGACTCGCCCATTTGAGCATTACCTGCGCATCATACCGAGTATGCATAAAAACACGACTCGCATTAAAACTTTGAGTATTTTCTGTCTCCGTTAGATGGTTGAGACCCAGTTTGATACGTATATCAGCCTTTTTCTTACTGTAATGAGCAAAAAACAATATATATATTATGTGCCTCCGACACTACAATCACTAGTTGCGATTTCGTAAATGAGGGACAATAAAGCGGCGGTTTTGCTCTTAAGCTAAATTAGTAATGTTTTTGGAGCAAATTTTCGATGAAGTTGGCCTTGTGTTTAAATTGTGTTGGGACTTGGCTATTTTAGCGTAGCAGGATAAAAATCTGAGTTAAAATTCCATTCTCATTGAGGTGTAATACATTGTGTAGTCAATGGCTAACCGGAAAATTCCGGATCTTACAAAATAAATTATATCGTGCAACGCCTGGTTCCTTGACGTATAAGTGGATAAAAGAAAAGAACCTAAATTTTCAATTTTTTTTAAAATTGTAATAATTGAATGGAAATGTAACAAAAAAGCCTGCAGCCGACTGGTGTGTAGGTTTCCAGAAACCACATTAGTACACTACCTAAAGAAAAAATAACAAACTATTAGAATACAATTTTAAGTTGATATGTGTAGTTGATTTGTGTATTGCTACTTACGCAACCAAACAATGAGCTGCAGTAAGAATAAATCTATTTGATATGAGAGCTCCTCCGCAAAAGTGTTCTTTATCCTTACTCTTCTCGATAGAAACTTGCCAAGGCCACGATTCAATATCAGCATCCATGCCTGAAAAAAAGCTGAAATTTAGTACAACAAAGAACAAACATAAAATCTCACATCTATAATTTCGATAATTCCTATGAAACAAGTCTAATATAAATAAAGGTGTTGAATATTAAATATGCTAACCTCCTACTATTCTTGGAAATCTTCCTGAATTGGTAACAGATCTTCTGCTGCGACTGTTCGTACTTGATGCCAGAGTTTCATCTAATATGACGTTAGAGTCGAATTTTGGAGAAGTGCCACAATCTTTAAAAGGTAAAATATATGGATCAACTGAATATGGGAGTTTTTCAGTTGATCCCAAGTACACAACAAGAAACGGTAATATTTCATTAGTAACCAATGCTCGGATAATTCAGCGCCACGAATTTAGGCTGTAGTCTATTAATTTTGTTTGTGATAAAATGACATTTATGATGGGAAATGTTTAAGCAATATTCTAACAATGTAACTCACCACAATCATTTTCATCAGAAGAATCATCACAGTCTGTAAAGCCGTTACATTTTAAGTTGATGCCAGGTACACACGAACGATCAGAACATTTGTAATCGGTATGCACAGGACACAACCACGAATGACCTAAATGCAAAAAAAAATTTAATTATTGCAAAGTAAGTCTAATTTATATGGAAAGATGGTAGACTTATTACGGCAAACCTATTGTTTGTTATTCATTTTTTTGTCAGCCTAATGTAGCGAATGTGGAATGTAACTATGGATTTTAAAGTTTATAACAAGTATAACTTGTATTGAGGTTTCAAGGTATATTTCAATATATTTGCATTTTCAAATCGACCGTACATATCTGCAATATACGAAGATTTAGCATTACAATCTATTGTGTGGTTATTGACCCCTGAGGAGCCAGTTGGAGTTGCTCCGCTAAAGTACGTTTAATAGTACGGGGGTAAGAACTCGCAGAGTAGGGCCATCACCTCCCTCCACTAATGAGCATTTTTCAAAAATATTCTTACTACAATTTCTTTCGTCGGAAAAATCATCACAATCTTTATATTCGTCACAAACTCGTTTTATTTTCAGACACATACTTTCGTCATGGCACTGAAAATCATCCCCGTGGCAACGAGAACACCCCATCTAAAAGAAAAACCAAACGGATTAAACTAGCATATGCATATAGAGAGGTGTATTATCCGTCAACTTTTGCGTGAGATATTTGAAATCAAAACTAATTTTTTTGAAGCGAATATTTCTTTGTATAGTTAAAATGCTCAGCACGTTCTGATGCGATATTGGCGTTTAAAATTACTGTACGTAACATGACCTTATGACATACGGATACCAGTGGAGAGCATGTAGATATTTCACACAATACATGTGCTGATAACGTGGTACTTAATAAATTACAATTCCTGTCATTTACCAATCGAGTGAATATTGCCCTCGAAATACTTTTAAAATGAGTTTAAGCATCACTATAACTATAAATCATACTTCATCAGTTGCATCGCTGCAATCTTTACTCCCGTCACATCGTTTCTTGCGTAGAATACATTCTCCAGATCCACATTTAAACTGAAAGTTTCGACATTCTGGAAAATATTATATTAATCTATATATTCGCCTAATATACGGCATTGAGAATTAGAAAAATATAAAATATACATATGGAACAGGAGAATGAAACTGAGAGCAATGCTCAAATATACACACGAACACGAAAGTCAAATGATTGACACGGCTACTGCAATGTCAGTAAAATCACAACCACATATTAAAAACATTACACCTTATTTCATATGAAGGTGTGCCCGTGAGGTATGAGGACCACCAAAATATAGACTAAAATAGCTGGCACGGAATGAAGGATTTTAAAACAAAGTAACAGCCTGTAACGAGTTTTGTACATCCAAGTTTGAGAAAATTTGAGATCGATTGGTCCATTAGATACGAGAAAAAAAGGTTTTTCCCAATACAACACCAATTTATTAAAACACTTCATAGGTCTACTCCGTTTCCAACAAATTGCAGAAGGGCGTTTTGACTGGAATATGTTTATGAAACCAGATTTGATGGTTTGAAAATAAATAAAAAAAACTAACTTGCACAGTCCACTTCATCACTCTTGTCGTCACAATCATTGTTTTTATCACAAATTAATTCTCGACTTATGCATGTTCCATCACCACATTCAAAATCATCTTCTCCGCATTCTGTTACGAAAAGCTATTATGTGAATGTTTTACATTTGAAGGGGAGAATGATTTGGCTCCGCGGACGAATTCACAATACAGATGTGAATCTATGGCGCTTGTCCAGGAACCTACTTGCAGCGAAGATGATAAATAATTAATTCATGTTAAATCTTTTCCAATATACGGATCACAATTTTTTTGAAAGCAGTTGATTTACAGTCGATTTTAAAAGTTTGGTAATAAATGGGAAAATGGAAAATAGAAAAGTATAGGTAATCATTGGTAATGAATAACAACGCAGAAAAATTATTTCCATCATTAAGTTACTATTTCAACAAAGGAGAAGAATCTCACTCCGCATGATATATTACAGGTTTCATCAAGCTTTCACTAAATCAGAGACTAGATCCATTATGTTCGATGTGACATCTACTATGAAGAATGAAATTCTGCTATTTTGTGGCAATAAACACTTCGCTTTATCATAATCGAGCATCATTGTGAGTGATACTGGTATACGGGTAAATACGGATCTAGCAGTAAAAAAGAGGCGGAACGAATGATGGGAAGTTCGCCACACGATCTTGAGTTGTAAGAAATGAATTATTGGTAATAGATATATTCAGTAACATTGTTTATGAATACCATCATCATTAGCTAAACTAGTTGATCCGCTACATCCCAATATTTCCATTCTCATCACAATATATTGTCCTGTCCAACTGCGTGGAATAATACGCAAATATCTTGCAACGAAAGGATGACTGAATTGGATATTGCAAGAAGTTCTACCGTCGATGTTTGCTTTAAAAACCTAATTGATAAAAATGATATAGTACAGAATACATGTTATTCTGGATGTAGATAATCAATTAAAATCTGATAGAAGTTCCGACTTTTATGGCAAAGTATGGTCGCCAAAATTTTGAAAAAGATGTACAGAAGGAAAATTCGTATATACACAAACACATATATATATATATTTCCAATTAAGCGGAAGGGCAATTAAAAAGCAGGCAAGCTGTACTTAAATCTAGCCTTGTAGTTTCATCCGGTAAAATGGTGATATGACATGTTGACAGACCGCAAAGATGAATTTCCAATAAGTTATTGAGAGTAAAATCTGAAGAATTCTCCTTCGAACAATTCGTTGAAGCGATATGCTGTTGGATATATCATACAGTACAGGAAACTTGAATCGTATAGGGAATACCTTCAGTCGTGGATCAATTCCTTCTCTATATTCTCTCCACGTCTTCCTACTTTTTCTAAATAAGATGCTAAATGATGTAACAAATAAATCTCCTGACGTCAAGTTGAATCCTTGTGTAACAATTCCAGTTACGACACGATTTCTCAGTAAATCAATTTGAATCCATTGGTTCCTGTATGTATAGTGATTAACAGGGTTTAACTAAGGATTATACATGTAAAGGAATTTCTACGTTAGTTTAAATCCATTGTTAGTTCAAAACAAACTTGCAAGTCGCTCGCTTGTGAAAAAGTCGCAAGACCTTAAGTCAGAGGTACATTGATCAACAGCAGGGTTTCACAAAAAATATTGATGGGGAGGGCGTGAGCTTTGCATGTATACAAAATGAGAACATCTCATACTATCCTCCTTCAAAGCATTTTCTATATGTAGTTTTGATCGGAAAAAGTATCAATACAAAACATTACCGACTGGTTTTATATATTTGAAGGCACCAAGCTTTCTGGCAAACCATCGAAGAGACCCATAGCTCCAAAAAAATTTGGAACTGCTGTATTGGGTTGACAAAAAGTGGTAATTACGAAAATCAGAGCGTGCCCCGGTCGTAACTGCATCCTATAGCTATTTGTAAAAGAATTCGTCACACTTACCATACGCTTATTTCTTACAAACTCTTCGTTCACAAAATAATTATAACCCCACATTATAATGTAAGCCCGATTGATTTTCGATTTCCTAAATGTTTATTTTCTACGCCATGCGATGGTGACTTCTATAATACTATTATGATGTTACTCGAAATGTTCACCACGCAAAATTTATGTCACTGACCCCGCGCTTTTTACACTAGTGTGATTATATCTTACTGTGTTGTAGGCAGTTTATACGATCTGTGTCGGGGTAGAACAGCTTTAGCACTTATCCAGGCACCCCTTCGATTATTAAGACGACTTAAGCTTGGTTTCCACTGCTGAGAAAAAGCTGAAGACGCAGATATTTGACCATCCTTTATTTCGCCTGACTCCATTCCCAAAGCAACAATATATGAGTTTCCTGGGCACGCTAGAAATAGATAATGTCTTCGTTAGTATGCTTAATTCCTCATATCATACGATAGAAATATCAATTTGCTGCTACAGAAACATATATATATATATATATTTAAAGCACACCTTTTAGAGTTTGAGGGGGTCCCGTCTTATATGAAATGTTGAATCCCGATCTTGTGGTTGATTCATCTGAAGTGAACACTATTGATATTTGATGATATCGAGATCGATACACTGAGCCCGATTTGTTTCCACTATAGTATCCAACATATTTTCGTGTTCTGGCATTAACTCCTCTGAAAACCTGGAGATTAGAAAAGTTCCATGGGCATTTATATCACTCAAATCAGCGTCGTTTCACCAAACCGTCCATCTCTTGTCCCACCTACCAAGAGAAAACTGTCGTCCTCGAACAAGTTGCTCATAATGTTGCAATAATGTATATTTTTACGTTGCTTTTATCATATATATTAGCTCTGAACAAAACTGTACACAAGCAGCAATTGATGTATATACCGTACAAACTATGCATTTGGTGTACCGTAATAGGGTGCGCAATGTGTCGTGTCGTGGGTAGGACTGGGCATTTTCGGATACCTGATGATTTCAAAATTGAAGCGAATATTTTTTTCAAATCGAATCTCGAACACATGAAAGATATGCATTGTGTGTGACATTTTTATTGTAATGATGCCTCCGGGCACAAAAATACACTGGAAACATGGAATTTACACTCAGTCAGTATAATGAGCGTTCACATACAATAATAAAAGGGGTTCATCAAAAAAACACTAGGAAAAAAGAGAGTCCTGTGTCAGAATACCATTGTAAAAATAGGGATTCAAGGAAAAAAATTAAGAATCACAACCCGACCTTTGGCTGCTGAATGAAAAACAAAAGATGGCAGCGAATCGAAATTTTCGTCTGAATCTGTTCGAATAATTTAATATTCGATTCGAAATGCCCAGTATTAATGGGTAATACAGAAAGCCTAAAGATCATGCATGCATTTAATATTATTTGTAGAATGGTCCATTTTTAAAGTCAAAACGATAGATATCCAGACTAATAAGTATATGAAACACTGACAAATGAATATTTTTATTACCAACAACTTGTCAAAGTTCTTCTCTGTATCGAAGGCATCAAATTCCAATTGAATAAGATGGTTCCGTTTAGAATAGATTCTCCATTCACAATTTAAATTGTCAGAGTAAAATCCTGGATAATTTTGCGAAGTAAAGTGACCAGAAACATTCGCCAATTCTCTAGATTTTCCGCATCCAGATGCTGTGATATTTATAAAATAATATTTAACTCATAGTATGTTCAATATTATAAATTTTTAAAAGTCATACTGTGGTAATAGTTGTAAGTTCAAATATCCAGTAATACCAATAAATATTAAAGCAAGAAAAGACTGAAAAACTAAAAGGAATTATAAT